CCCACCCTCTTGGCTAATGTGGTAGCAAGGTGTGTTGCTATGATATAGACGAACAGTTTCACTGTCTTTTACGTAAAGAACATACCCAGTTAAAAGTGAAAGAATTTTTAAAGGGATATGATCCTCTGAAGTAATTATCTTAGCAGAGTGGTTCTGAAACACCAATGATGTATAGAATAAAGCACTTGTTCATTAACAGTCTCTAATATTAAAAATCAACAAAAAGGTTTATTAGATATGTCTTCTTTTAATCACTGCAATCTAAATATTGAATAGTGTGGTGGGGGTGGAGGAGAAAGAAACTAAGAAAATGCATAGCTGTAAAAGGTGAGCATTTATAATCTTCTGAAAGCCATCCCATCATTTATACACATTATCAGGCAGTCTCATTTTTTCTTGCACCTTTTTTTCTCTAGAGGTCAGGGCATCTGAAAACGGGTAGAGGATAAATGCATAACTTTCCCTTTAACCTTTTTAGCCCATCCTTCCTCTTTGAGTTTTACTCCAACATGCCATAGGTGGGTTTTCTTTTTTAAATTACCTCACAAGTTTAGGACGTACCAGATACATCTGAATTCAGTTTAATGACAGTTTCTCTAAATCCTGCTAGGAGCCAAACAACCCCCTTTGTCAGTGAACTGCAAGGCAAGATTTTCAAAGATTTTTCCTTTTTAAAATCCATCTAGAAATGTCTTTCTCTCTTTTAGCACTTGAGTTCACATGGTACTCTCCTGAACCACTACATATTTTTCAGTTAGGGTTCACTCCTGCATCCTGCTAAGTGCTCTGCCTCAATCAAATGAGACACTTAAGCATGTGCTTAACTTTAAGCATGATTAATCCTATTAAAGTCAATAAAACTACTCACATTCTTAAAGTTAAGCATGTGCTTAGGTGCTTTGCTGAACTGGGCCAGAGAGCTCAGCCTCTTGCAGAATCAAGCCCTTACAGCTTAAACTTTTCTTCCCTGTGTCAAATGCAGGTTCACAGTCTAATAAAGAATAAAGGAATGAAAAAAAATAACTATATTTAATAGACAGAAATCCTAGTGTGTAACAATTTCATCATGATCAAAGACCCGTGGAGAAGAAGAGGAAAAATGCTAGGGTTATTCCTGAACTCTGATATTTTGTACAAGTTAGCTGTACCAACCAAGACAATGAGAGAGAATCTGTCTTATACAGCTTTTTTCCCCTGAATGCTTTTTGACAAGAAAGATTAATGAAATGTTTATGATAGAGGGCATTGTGTTCTTTCATCAGTTAAAGTGATGGTACCCAACTGTAGAGTCTGAATGTCAAGTTTTAAACAGAGTTCAACTTTATATATTCTGTACAAAATGTTATCAAGTAAAGAGAACACTAATTCCTTGAAATGTGTTTGTTTTTCTCTGGATGTAAATACCTAGTTCCACTCTAGGAAATTCATGGTTTATATAAGACTCTTACTGGTGTGAAAAATTCAGTCACAGTTAGTATCATGCCAGCTTTCATCTCCAAAAAACTGTGTGACAGGAAGTTATCACCTTTGCTCCCTTTTTCAGGATGTGGAGGCTGATATTGAAATGCTTTCCCTTTTTAATGGAAAATTAGTATAAAACAAAGGAAAAATAGACACAATATGCAAGAAAAATAAGCAAGCCAAATAGTGTCCAGATTAAATCCCTTTCACCATAATTTTGACTATCTTGCCTACAGAAAGAGATTGATTCTGCTCACACTCCAGGAGGTTCATCACAACAGTACTTCCAGTTTGCTGGGGCAGGAACTGTCCTGCTTTATGGGGCCAGTACTGGGGTCTTATGGAGGTATTTGCTGGGAGGGGAGAAAGGAAGTTTGGTGATATATTATTAGAGGAACATGCATGGCAATGTAGCAATAACACTCATAACCTCTCTCCTGAAGTGGGGGGATATGGAGGGAGCTGGGATATTGAATGGGGAACAGGGCAAAGAGCTGGTTGGGGGGGAAATATGGTCAGAAATGAGACAGAGGGGGCTGCATATTTGTTTCCCTTTGCTGAATGCCTTCCCTTTGATACCTCCCATCCTCTGCATTGGGGTAGCCCTAACAGGCCTCCTACAGCTCAGAGCTCCCTAACTCTATCACAGCCACTTTCTTTCTGATGAAGTTCAAGAAATATTATGTAGGAGGTTAGACTAGTTGATCATAATAATGGTCCCTTCCAGCCCTAAAATGTATGGTCTATAATGAGGATTATTGTGATTAAATTATATATTTATATCCATCCCAAGTACAAATTCCTTAGTCAAGGAGGGTAGAAGAGCAGGATTTTTTTTAATTGGGTTGGTTGATGTATAAATTCTACGTGATGTAAAGAGGGCTCTTCTCTGACTGATCTTATGAGACCCATCAGAGCAAGACTTCTCTTCTTCAGATGTTAGCAATAATTGACTTGCTCAAGTGGAGAAAGAGTTACACCTGGATGAGAAAGGAAGGGCAAGAGGTTGTGGACAGTGGAGGGGAAGATTTTTAATACATATTGAAAATTTTAAGTGCTTATCCAATAGAAAGACTCTGATTTACTGCAGTGAGAGTTGGATTGGTCCCTTATTGCTATACATACAGAAAATTAAGCATTTGAAGTTAAACATGGATAAAGCAGCTCAGCAAGCAAATCAGCTACTGCTTCATCTTCAAAATACTTCCAATAATTAATTTCACTAATCAACAGAGCTAATGAATATGGGCCTAGAGATGTAGTTCCTAAATTCTTATTTCAAATTAAAATAAGGCTCACAAAGGTCAATAGTTTTACTACTTGGAGACACCTTATGTCAATTTAAAATAATTATGTACTTGTAAATTTCATGTAGAATCTCATGCATTCATTTAATCAGAACATAATTCAGTATTCTTTCCAGAATCTATTTACCAATGTTCCACTATCTGTCAATGCATATAAACCAATGTCCTAAGAGGTGGTGATCATACAATCACTGTACTGAGTAAGGATGATCTTGTGGTTAAGTTACTTGACTAGACCTTCAGATATCTTAATTCAAATCCCAGATCTACCTCCAGTCTTCCTGTATGACTATGGGAAAGACATTTAATTTCTCTTTTCTTTGGTTCTCCATCTGTAAAAATAAGGGCTATAATACTTCCTTTCTACCACTCTTTGTTTGTCTTGTCTATTAAGAATCTTAGATTATAGGCTTTTTGAGGCAGTGATTGTCTTTTTCTATGTCTGTACAGTGCCTAGCACATTGTGACCTATAGACACTATGGTAATATAAATTATAGTAACGTAATAATAAAGTATTGACCACATGCTAACTGGACCCACTCCCTCCCTTCCACCAGCTAGTGAAATACTGCAGGGACTGCCTAAATGCTCTCCTGGAAGACATTGTTAATGACTCTTCCAGAGGAAAAGTTACCAGCACCTCTCAGAAAAACTTTAGTCAGACCTCTGCTCAAAAAAATCTGTTCTGCACACAAGCATGTTGGCCAACTACTGCCTGGTTGAGATCGTTTCTGGGAAAGATAAATGAGAAGTTGTTGCCATCATCACAAACAGCTAACCACTCACCTACCTGGACCTGAACATCACCTAGTTAGGTTTCAGCCCAGGTCGTGACATAGAAACAATATTAATTGTAATGGTCGGAGATCTCCTTAGGCCAATGGATTGAGGCCAGATATCTGATGACTCAAGGTTTTGGTGTCCTTTGAGCATGTGAAATTACTGACACAGCTGCATGACCTGGCTTAGAAAGATGGAGTTGTCTTAGACTGGTTCCACTCACTCCTTTCCAATTGTTCCCAAATGGTGAAGGATGACTGTTCTTTCTTCCAGCTGTATGGTCCTTGTGGAGCTCAATACTCTTCTGTTCAACATTTATATAAAGGCACTCAAAATTATCATGACCCTGTGTCATCAGTACACCAGTGACAGACCGCTCTACTTCGTTTTATCTTTTGATCTTGGAACTACTGTCCCCACACTCTATTAGTGTCTGGCTGGCACATATTAAGAGATGGATGAGAGCCAGCTTGATGCAGCTCAAACCAGACAACATAGAGGTGATACTAATTAGTGGGGAAAGTGCTCTAAGGACCTGGTGAAGTGTGAATGCTGATCTATAGCTATCTGTCCAGCCATTACAATGTGCTCTGCATTTAAGGGGTTTCACTAGAACATCAATGTCTACCCTGTATTAAGAAGAAAATTTGTACACCAGGTCCTCAAAGTTCTTTCCCAATCAGTATCACTTCCATCTTGTTTTATATTGAAAATATGTTCCCCAAGCCATGCCCCAGGATTTTAAAACTGGTAATAAATAATAAGATAACAAAAATGACTTTCCCCTCAAGCATTTTGATGTTAGGGTTGATTTTTTGGGGGCTCAGAACTACAAAGCATTGTTACTGTGCAGACTTCACAAGAGACTGTCAAAGGGTGCAGCAAAAGACATTTTATCTAGTTAATTTTAATTTGGAAACAGTAAAAAAAATTAAACCCAATATAAAGTTAAATACTTCAACATACAACCACCCAAAGGTTTCCTAGTATATTGCTTACTAGAAATTTGCAGTCTTACAATTTAAAGTCCATCAAGCTGCCCAAAACTGGAGAAAGGATCAAGGGCTAAAAAGTTGTCTCCAACTCCAGTCCTGCTTCCAGAAGAGGAGGAGGGAAATTTAGCCATGAATTGTGAGATACCCCCAACCACTTGCTTGTCATGTGCATGCTTACATTTGGTTCGTTTGGATTTTTTGTGTAGAAATCCCCTCCTGGCCTTTTAGATGTGACACAGTTTCAGCAGCATCTCTGTGTCCATGCAGGATATTAATATTGTTAGGAGTGCATGTCTTTACACTAGATTACTTTGTGACCTGGGGGCATCAAGGTGTCAATTGCCCCATGCTGGCAGAGAAATCAGGGACTGGTGGTCTCCTCAAACTGGCACAAGGGCCCAGATCCAAAAAGCCTAAATATCTTCGAGGCTGTGGGCCAATGTGACTGGCAGGAAATCTCAATGATTCAGTGAGCCAACGCACAAAAAGCAAAATCCTCTATCAGCAGAGGACGAGAAGCGCATTTACACGGGACGGGGTCCCCACGTCTCCCCCAGTTACTCAGACTTAAGCAAGCGTGAGAAACGAAGGACACAGGGCACCCAGTGCAACGTTTGGTGTGTCCCGTCATGAGGTTACCCCCACGCCGTCCCTAAAATAGGGGGCTAGGAGCAGCAGCTGCCAAGATAGACGGACGCTGCTCGTCTGCACTCTCGGTGCATCGGACAGGGAAGGCTCGTGTGCGGTCACATGGGCCCCTCTGGCTGCACGGTTCTCTGCGCCGACTAGCCTGGGAGAGGCTTACAGGCAGCAGCAGGGGGCGGGCCCGAGCCCGAGCCCAACGCCCAGCGGCCGCCGCTATTCTCCCGATCCCGGCGAAACGGAAGCCAAGTCAGTGCACGTGGCCGGGCGGGGAGGAGCGACCAGCGGAGCCGCCGGTAGCTGGAGCATGGCGCCCCCGTCCCCGGTCGCCAACCCCAGGGTCTTCTTCGATGTGGACGCCGGAGGCGAACGAGGTGCGTGAGGACATGGAAGGTTCCCGGGCAGGGAGGGGCGGCGGCGGCGGCAGGTTGCCCTGGAGAACGGGCGCGAGACCCCGGGGACGGCAGCTGGGCGGCCGCGGGGGCGGAGGGTTGTCGGCGGGCAGCCCCGCGGCAGCGCCCCCGGGGCTGCGGCTCGCCAGCCCCCTCCCCCGGAGGGCGGGGTAGACGGGAAGGGGCAGCGGCCGCGGTCCCTCCGCGCCTGGCCCGGGCACCCCGGCGGCCCTTGTGCCGCCCCCGCCCCCAAGCTGCTTTGTGCCTGTAGCGCGTCGGGCGGGGAGTCCCGGTTCGGGGAGCGGAGGGGGGCTGGTCCCGCGAGCTTGCCGGGGGCTCCTGTAGGGCAGCCCCCTCGCCTCCGAGAAGGGCTTTGTGGCTGTCACTGTGCAGGGCCTGAGCGCTGCCAGCCCAGCCCAGCCCCCGGTCGCGGCCTGCGTGCTCCGGGGACAGCCCCGAGGGTCTCAAAATGTTCGGCTACGTGTGGCGCCCTATCTGGCTACAGGCTTAAGGAAGGCAGGTTGACTTACAGCCGCCGCAGTAATTATTGTGGTGGTGGCGGATGGCCATCTTACCCTCCCTTCTTCTGGCCTTGGTGCGCAGCCTCACCAGGAGCGCTTCCAGTGACTGAAGAGGGGAGCCCAGCTGCCCCCCGCCGGTGCGGGCTTCTCACCTTCCCGCGCCCAGCTGGGAGTGGAGGGGCGCGCAGCTTAGCGCTGAGACCCAGCAGCAGCCCAGCTGGGGAGCCAGGAGCCTGCTTTCTTGTCAGTTTCAGGGCTCCCCGAACCCCGAAATGGACAAGACAGCCAGTGTAAGGAATGCATAAATGACACAGATACTGTGTCACCCTAACTACAGTGTACCAACATAAGCCTCTTGTGGAGGTCTTGGTGTAGTAGGGCACTTGCATTGGTGGGAGCAAGCCTGCAGTGTAGACACTTGACATAGGCCAGCATAAGCTGCGTTATGTCAGCCTAACTTGGGGTGGCCAACCTGTGGGTCCAGAGCCACATGCGGCTCTTCAGAAGTTAATATGTATCTGCTTGTATAGGCACCGACTCGGGGGCTGGAGCGACAGGCGCCAACTTTCCAATGTGCCGGGGGGTGCTCACTGCTCAACCCCTGGTTCTGCCACAGGCCCTGCCCCCACTCCACCTCTTCCTGCCCCCTCCTCTGAGCCTGCCCTGTCCTTGCTCCTCCTCCTCCCCCACCCACTTACAGGCCACGAAACAGCTGATCAGCGGGGCTGCTGGTGGCGGGAGGCGCTGGGAGTGCGGTTGGAGGAGGTGATGGGGGGCTGCTGACATATTACTGTGGCTCTTTGGCTATGTACATTGGTAAATTATGGCTCCTTCTCAGGCTCAGGTTGGCCACCCCTGACCTAACTCTTTAGTGTAGACCAAGCCTGGGCCACACAGGCAGCCAGCCAGCACTTACGTTCTGTACAGCTCTGAGTGAGCCACATTGAATCCAGCAGCTTGCCAGCCATGATCTCAGACTGCTCTTTTCTGTACCAGACTTGGCTGATGTGATCCCTCACGTCCTGAACTTTCCCAAGCCCCTGTGCTGTGCAGCATTGAGAGGAATACAATGATCTGTTTACTCCTTTAAAGAGACAAATCCCACCAGCTTGCCATATTCACTGGCATTAACGTTTACTGTCATTTAAACACCTTGCCGTTGGTTTAGATCAATAGTAAAACATGTTTAATTAACAAAAGAAGATAGGCTTTTAAGTGAGTTCAAGAATAAAAGTTGGAAATGGTTATAAGCAAATAAAAGTGAAAACACACATCTAAAAGTCTAAACCATAATTTAGCAAGGTACAGGCTTTGTTCAAGCAGGTACCTCATCTATAGTGAGATTCTAGAGACTTCAGTGCCCACCTTGGTTGAAGGACCTCTTTCCCAGTTTCCAAGAGCTCTGCTCCCATGTGTCTATCTAACGATGGACACAAAGATGGTTTCTGTCCTTGCTTATATCTTCCAGAGTGGCTGAAAACCAACCCTGCATGGCCACCCTGGTTTTCAGCCAAAATATTTTTGTTTTGATATTTCAGCAAAAGTAGTTATCTTCCATGGAAAATGACGACAAAAAAGAAAAAGCAGTTGAAATTTTCCATGGAAGCAAAACTCTATTTTCCCAACATGTTCTAACAAGAATACGTGCTGCACAAATCTGGTGCACTTTTAAGTCTATGTGAGTCCTGTGAGCATGTCCAAGGGCAGAATTTGAGTCGTATATACGTGTGGATTGTTTTCTAATAGTTTTTAGACACATCTGTCATGGTCTCCCCCTTAACCAGTTCATGGTGCCAGTTTTTCACTGACTGTATCTATGGCAGGAGTGGGCAAACTTTTTGGCCCGAGGGCCACATCTGGGTGGAGAAATTGCATGCGGGGCCGGGGCAGGGGGTTGGAGTGAGTGAGGGGTGTGTGTGGGGGGTGTGGTGTGCAGGAAGGGGCTGGGGCAAGGGGTTGGGGCAGAGGAGGATTGCAGAAGGTATGAGGGGGCTCAGGCAGGGGGTTGGGGTGCAGAAGTGGTGCGGGTTGCGGCAGGGGGCTCAGGGCAGGGAGTTGGGGTACAGGAGGGATGAGGGGTGCAGCAGGGGGCTCAGGGCAGGGAGTTGGGGTGCAGAAGTGGTGCAGGTTGCGGCAGGGGGCTCAGGGCAGGGGGTTGGGGTACAGGAGGGATGAGGGGTGCGGCAGGGGGCTCAGGGCAGGGGGTTGGGGCACAGGAGGGATGAGGGGTGCGGCGGGGGCTCAGGGCAGGGGGTTGGGGTACAGGAGGGATGAGGGGTGCGGCAGGGGGCTCAGGGCAGGGGGTTGGGCTCCAGTCCAGCGCTGCTTACCTGGAGTGGCTCCGGGGTGGCAATGGCGTGCACTGGGGCCAGGGCAGGCTCCCTGCCTGCCCTGGCCCTGCGCCGCTCCCAGAAGCGGCCGGCACCATGTCCCTATGGCCCCTTAGTGCGCAGCCCTTGCCTGTGGGTACCTCCCCCGAAGCTCCCATTGGCCACGGTTCCCCATTCCCAGCCAGTGGGAGCTGCGGGGGGCAGTACCTGGAAGCGAGGGCAGTGCACGGAGCCCTCTCCTTCTTCCCTCCCCCCCCCCCCGCGCCTTGGGGCCACAGGGACATGGTGCTGGCTGCTTCTGGGAATGGTGCGAGGCCCGCGGCGCCATAGGGGTGGCAATGCCGCAGGCCATAGTTTGCCCACCCCAATCTATGATAACAAACATTGTAGCTGTAATTCACTAGCTCTATCCATGGTAGCAGTAGGAGGGATATGGAAAATTGTATATTTTAAGGATTAGATTAGTTTAACAATGGCTTAAATACTGTTAATTCAATCATTAATTCCCCCCCTGCTCTCCACTCCTCTTCCACACTTACAGATCTGCTATATAAACATGTTTGTCTTGAGATGCTGGGCTCCTCCACTTGTTTGTCAGGATTGGACTGAAATGTGTGCGCACTCTTTCTCTCTCATATTCCAGTTGGTCGAATTGTCTTAGAATTGTTTGCAGATGTTGTGCCCAAAACTGCTGAAAATTTTCGTGCACTATGTACAGGAGAAAAAGGGATAGGGCCTACAACTGGAAAGCCTCTTCATTATAAAGGATGCCCTTTCCATAGAAGTAAGTTTGAATCATCTTTATTTTGTTGTTCTTTTCCCATTTTCTGTTTAAGTTGCATAATATTAACAGTTGACTTCAAGTATTTTAAAACCAGTTTTATTTCAATATTGGGCGGGTAGGGATGTGTGTGGATTTCTAACAGTGATCAATACTTAAGTTATGGGCTGATATGGCTTTCATGGAACTCAGGGAGAGTTTTCTTGGACTTTCAATATTTAAATCCTTTTGAGTTAGTGATTTAGAAAGGAAAAAAAGAAAACGCAGAGCCAAGCTACAGTAGAAATATTAAAAGTGATTTAGCATAACATATGGTATTTCTAAAATGAACTCATTAGCTATTTTGGTTTAATATAAGAGTTTTCAGTTCAGAAAAGTAATGGATTCGAGAATAGTAGAAATGCATTATTTATCCCTCTTTATTTTATCTTCTGTCTACCTTGACCATGTTTTTGTAGAGAGTGCATCAATAGCTGGTCGTAGGCTTGCTCCAATGGCAGTAGTACAGCTGTGGGAGTCTTTCCACTGACTTCATTGGGCTTTGGGTACGACCCAGTGTGAGCAAGGGATTTTCTTTGCTGCTGCTTACTCGTGTTTTTCTCCACAACAGCTGGTAGTGGAGGATATTAGGAAGGATTTTTATCTGTGGACTTTTTGTGGGTTTTGTGTGTACATGTTATGCTTTTCTAGAACATCCCACAGTCAATGCTGTAGGCTTCCTAATATGAAACTGCATTATAATAAATAAGAAATCATTAGTTGATGTGAAAAAAAATTTTTTTATCCCAGCTTGCTCTGTTGTAATTGTGGACTTTTCTTCATATGTTGAGGAACTAGACTATTAAAGCTTTGGAAAATACATTGCTCTAAAACAATTATTATACTCTGGGACATAAGATTTTTGAAGTTATTAATTTGATTTTTTAACTGTCATCCAAGAATCTCAAAGTGCTTTATGAAAATGGGATAATAATTCTTTACTCATGTTACAGATGGAGAAATTGAGACTCAGGGAAGTAAAATAGCTCACCCAAAGTCACGCTATCCGTGACAATCTGGAATAGAAACTAGGCCTTCTGACACCCTGACCCTTGTACTTTCACTTAGGTGATGCTGTTTGACATTTGCAGATATAAATGATTTAATAAATGATTCATTTAATGAACTATTTTATTGAGAGTGATAAATAGGTTAAATGGTTTTCCTGTTGAGGTGTGAGAATCAAGTGTTGTTCAAAAAGCTGAAAATGGATAATTCGAGGGAATCTGATAACTAAGAAATCTTGTTCACTTTTGTTTGGGTATAACTGACTCGCCTGACTGTTTTGCTGATCATGATTCCCTCTCTACAGTACCCTCAAGATTACACTTCTGTTGCCCGTCCTTCTCTTGCGTAAAATAATTGTAAAAATATGTAGGATGTAGATGCAAGTTATCATCAAACCATGCTATATACTAAGGATATATGGCTTATTTCTGGTATTGCACAATTATGTGCCCAGTGAGAAATTTGATTGATTGTTAGCCATTTTGCTTTTTCTATATTAAGCCACAAGAAGTTGTGAATTTCTGGTTGTAACTATGGAAGTGTTCAGGGGATTCTTGCTCATATAAGAAAGGAATTAAGGCTCATGTTGATGAAGTGGGGTTGGTCTTCACCCTTGAATGTAATCCTGCTTAACATTCTTCCTGCTTTGACACCATCTCTTATGACTCATTTTCTACTTAATAGTTATTAAGAAATTCATGATCCAGGGTGGAGACTTCTCAAATCAAAATGGCACAGGTGGAGAAAGTATATATGGAGAAAAATTCGAAGATGAAAACTTTCATTATAAGGTAAAGTAGTTAAAAATGCTAAATGGAATCAGGTTTTGAAATTAGGGTGGTTTGGTTCTTATTACTCCAGTGGAATCTTAGTACACGTATTATGATCTATGATGATGATGTCGGTCTATGAGGAGGTGAAGAAAGTTGTAGGAGCTTTACCTGTAAAATATTTCAGTTTTAGGGGAAAGACTATCACTCCTACAAAACAAGGGCAGCAGCACTTTAAATTCTCTTCATAATTTTAAAAATCATGAACAAAATGACATAATTAAATTGTGCAGTGTGTACCTTGGCTGAAGGAGAGGAAATATTCCATAATAAAATTATTGCATTGAATATTAGAGGAACTTTATTTCTGGAGCAAAATTTCATATACAGTGGTTTTGAATTAAATAAATCCTATGGGTTTTGTCATCATATATTTGTGATTTTAAAACAAGGGATTTCTCGCATTTAATCTTGTAAATTCAGAAGGAGGAATCTGTTGCATCACATCTTTTCCATTTTTCCGTAAATACTGGATTAATGTCGTCTTTGCAGAATCCAGCAGAAGCAAAATTTAGGCAGGTTGAGAGAAAGTATTTACTTCCATGCAAATATCTTCCATAACAGGAAAAGAAACATTAATAAAGACTATTTTATATTCATGTTTTTGCACTCCTAAGTTTGCGTTAGTTGGAAAGTCTTGCTGTAAAGAAAACTTTAAGTGTCTGTGGGTGTGGATTCCATTATAGGTGCACCTGCAGCTCATGCATGCAAGATGGGATTTTTTTAAATAGAAGTTTCCATGGGGGGCCATGCTTACACCCAGTGTCTTCTCGTGCTCCTGTGCAAGAACATAAAGGGTAGCATGACCATGACCCTCACTCAACTCCTTCTTACTACCTGTGACAAAGAGATGGAAGTCAGCAAGTGTCTGCCCCACTACTCCTAAGCTTCAAACTCGTTCCTTTTCAAACTTTTTGGTGAAGAAAAAGAGAAGAAGAGACCCCATCTACACCTCCCCATACAGCAGGGCTAGGCACCCTGAACCTACTGGTCTGGTGGATTCCAAATCATCCAGTTGAAACCCTTCCTGGCCTGTGACAGACTTACCTTACTGGTCGAAGGACACAGTAAATGACTGTTCTGTTGAGGGGAAAGTCGCATCCCCAATAAATATGTGCCATGCTAATTTTTCTCCTCAAGGACTTGCAAGTTGAGGGATGTACAGCTGTAACTGCACCTACTCGAACAATTGATAAATGCCACCGTGGAGCCTACCACAGTTCCAAAGAATGGGAAGGTTCATCTTCAGCGAGTGCTCCATTGACTAGACACTACTCCACAGCATCAAGCAGCGACAGGAAAGAAAACAGTCAAAAACTGTGCCAACCACATTGGCATTAGGGCCATCGACATTGGCACCAATAACTTTATTGGACTGCGGCTGGTTGACTCAGCACTGCCAAATAGAAGAGTTTCTCAATATGGGCAGCTCAACCCCAGTCTTGATACCAGAGATCCATGATACTTACTGCACCTCCAATAAGCCAGTCTTTCTCTCAACTCCTTTAAAATCCACCTTAGTGATTTCAGCTTGTCACCTGCTGGAGCAAATCCTGCTCTGTCTTCTCTCACCCCATGGTATCAGTTCCTTAAAGGGCTACTATGCAATTCCCCACCAAACAGAGGATGCATTTGAGCATCTGTCAGTATTCTCCCTATGTTACCTTACTCTGAAGATGATCTTCCTAGTCGCTATCACTTGAGCCAGCAAAGTGACTGGCGCTTCAGGCTGAATCTCCCTGTATAACATTCCATAGGGACAAGGTGGTGCTAAAACCTCATCTGAAATACATCCTTAAGGTGATGTCAGAATTTCCATCTGAACCAATTCTATCAAGCTACTTGTCTTCTTCATGAAAGCACATTTGGCACCAGTTGAAAAGAATTGCACATACTGGATGTGTCCAGGACTCTGCTTTTTTCACTGACAGGACCAAAGCATTCAGACATCCCCCTCCTGGGATGTTTCTGGTTAGAGGTGTTCCAAAGGTCAAGCCATTTCATCACAAGATATTAAAATGGATTACTCAGTGCATTTCTTTGTATTACCAGTCAACTGTTGTACCTCTCCCACCAAACATACAAACTCACTCCATCAGAACTCAAGTGACATCTTCTGCCTGTTTCAGAAGTGTGCCAGTATCAGAGATCTACAAAGCAGCAACATGGACCTTTGTCAAACACTGTGCTTCAAACTTAGCTACTAGGTCAGTTGCCAAGTTCAGGAGGACAGTCAGTATTCTACTGAGGCAGCTGAAACTCCTAATTTCCACCATCCTGAAGGGATACTGCTTGCCGGCCACCTATTGTTAGACCCATATTGACACATACTCCAAGAAGAAAGAATTGGTACTTACCCTACAGTAACTGTGATTCTTTGAGGATGTTCTTTTGAGGCCAGTGTGGATCCCATGACGTACTTTCCATTCCTGCTTTCCAGAGTCCTCGTCTACCATGGGCTTTGAAGTGTGAGGAACTTGAGGGAGGGTTGCGGATGTCCAACCCTTTTTGTCCTCATACTGGAGCACAAGGAGCCACAGGTCACATGTATAACTTTGCAAGACAGTGGTCTAAAAATCAATCTTACATACATGAAGTGCACATGCACCTACTGTGAGATCCAGAGCAACTATGACTTCTTGAAGAAGCACGGCTTCTGTAGGGTAAGCATCCATTCTTTTGTAGAAGACTTGAGTAAAGCCTATGTCGCAAAGACTTATGTAGAAGACTTGAGCAAAGCCTATATTTCCAAAAAACATGAAACTTTTTGGCTGTGATTTAGAAAAAAGTATTAAAGAGAAAAAATCTGGATGGTGAAGCAAAATAATCCATGTGCTTAATTACAAGGAGTCAAAAGAATTGTAGGAGAAAAGTGTGTGATTATACAGCAATAAGTTTTAAATTATAAGGCCTCAGTCTTGCAAACAGCATGGAAGTAACTCAATTCACGTGAATAGGTGCATTAAGGTTAATGAGACTACTCATGTAAAATAAGTAATGCACAAGTGTTTGATGGATAGGGTTTCAGAAAGTATTTAACAATTTCCTATTAATTGCATTATTACTGAGTCAGTTACTGTATCTTGTTTTTTTAAATGGGACATAGAGAGCTGGTTTTAATATCAGGAGATCACATCAGGCACCCCTCAACTGATTTCTCAAGTTTTGGTGTTTAGACAGCATGGAACTGACTGATGCAGTTAAACAGCCAATGCAACATTTCTTGTTAACTGATTGGGTAGTGTCAAGTCACTAAGCTTGCTTGCCACCCACTATGGGAAATACAATAAAGACAACTGTCCTCTGATGTCAGGGAAGATGAAGCCAGTTGCAAATTATGTGTGGTCCTCAGGCCCCTTGCAGGTTGTCAATGTGGGCTTATTTGGGGTACACTGGATGTCCTGGTAGTATATCACTGTAACCATGTAGAATAATCATATCTTACTTATATTTGCTTTGATGGCATTTTCTCATACAGCATGATCGGGCAGGGCTGCTGAGCATGGCAAATGCAGGACCCAATACAAATGGCTCTCAGTTCTTTATCACAACAGTGCCAACCCCTCACCTGGATGGGAAACATGTGGTGTTTGGCCAAGTGATCAAAGGAATGGGTGTTGCTAAAATACTAGAAAATGTTGACGTGAATGGAGAAAAACCTGCAAAGGTAAGATCAGGACATCTAGGAGGACACTTGTTCCATTATATGGTGCCTTCTGTGAGAACTGTTTTAGTATTCTGTGAGAATTAATTTTAGTTGTGTTTTTCAGTATGATTCAAAATTGGTTTGCTTTTGTTAGAGCAAAACTAGAAAAAGTTTTTCTGAGCTTTGTCTCGCAGAACATATAACATTTTCAGATTAGCTTTTGTCTTCCATTGTGAAAATGACTTCCAGGCTAAAAGTCACAGGATTGGTAAAGCCGTTTACTAATCCTAAATAAAATATTTAGATCAAAGAAAGTATTAAAAACTGGGAAAGAGGAAAAAAATATTTTGTAGTTAATTATTCTTGATACTCTACATGTGTAAAACTCCTACAAATGTTAACTAGTTATTACTAATCAATTTTCACACCGCCTTTGGAAATGAGGGAGGAATGTAATGTCTCTGCACATTGAAGGTATGAGAAACTGAAACCTGTATAAATGAAGTTGTGACTTGCCAAAGGTTGCAAAAGGAGTTAGTGTTAGAGCTGGGTCGAACTGGAGTTCTTGGTTCCCATCCTGTGCTTAGAGGACAGGTATGGGGGGTGTCTAGCACAGGTCTAACACAGGAGCAGGCAAACTTTTTGGCCTGAGGGCTGTATTGGGTTTCTGAAATTGTATGGCGGGCTGGTTAGGGGAGGCTGTGCCTCCCTAAACAGCCAGGCATGGCCCGGCCCCTTGGAACTCCTGCCCCATCCAACCCACCCTATTCTCTGACGGCCCCCTGGGGATCCCTGCCCCAAACTGCCCCCCACCGCCCCATCCAACCCCCCGCTCTCCGTCCTGACTGCTTTCCTGGGACCCCTGACCGCCCTGACCCTTATCCACAAGCTGGTCCCTGACCACCCCCTGAACTCCCCTCCTCTCTATCCAACTCCCGCCTGACCCCTTACCGCGCTGCCTGGAGCACCGATGGCTGCCGGCGTGGCTGCACCAGGACAGGCAGCCGTGCTGCACAGCACAGAGCACCGGTCAGGCTGCGGCTCTGCAGCCGCCCAGAGTATTGCGCCTGCGGTGCACTAAGCTGAGGCTGCGGGGAAGGGGGAACCATGGGGGAGGGGCTAGGGACTAGCCTCTCGGGCCAGGAGCTCAGGGGCCGGGAAGGACAGGCCCACGGGCCATAGTTTGCCCACTTCTGGTCTAACAGTATTGAGCAAACAGTTTAATTAGTACATTTAACATGGCTATGTTAGAAGATTAATGGCTCTTTGTCAAACATAAAATATGACCAAATCATAAAATATGACCAATTATTTTTCATCATCAATATCTCCTCCATAATATCTGAAAAATTACCCTTGTTGTTGGAAAGGAAAGCATGTATTTTGCTTCATTTTGCTTCATTTTGCTACCACGCTATAAAACCTAAAAACACACACGCTTTTCCTTTCATGTGTGGTAGCAAAGATGAGCAATTCAGTCATTCCTAGTGTAATGGCTTCTTGTGGTGTGATCCTGCTAGATTTTTACAAGCTAAGTGGTCTAAGCTTTGGTTGATGCTTCCAAGAAACAGAGAGCAGCAACAGGAAGCGGTAGTGAATCAATGTGTGTGTCACCCTTCCACATATGGCCTTGTCTTCTTCACTGCTATAATAGGTGGGTTTTTCTACCTCAGTATCTAACATGCATGAGCTATCCTGAGGTAAAAACACAGTGAAAATTAGGCAATTTAGTTTTACTATGGGGTAAATAGCCCTATACTCCCTCCAGTTGTTGAACTTGATGAGTTTACCTTGCAGTAAAGCTGAAAATGAAGTTTCATAAGGATAGTTAGAAGCAGCTGAAGTAGGCTTCTGAAATCTGTAGTTTGGGAGTGACAGGAAGACACTTTCACCGATCTTTTGGCAATACAAAAGAACTAAAGCTTTCCGATTAGTGAATAGCAACATTGCATATTGTACGCCTCCTGTTTTTTTACAGTTGTGCATTATTGCAGAATGTGGAGAGCTGAAGGAAGGCGATAACTGGGGGATCTCCCCAATGGATGGCTCTGGTGATACTCACCCAGATTTCCCTGAAGATTCAGATGTAGATTTAAAAGATGTAAGTCGTTTTTCTTTGAAGATAATTATTTTTCCTGTGCAATGATGACATTTACATAACCTAAGATATATGGTGGTGGTTGTCAGGTTCACCAGACTTGAGTTTATTTTTAAGAAGTCTGTTAGGGCAGGTTAGAGGTAATAATGAGGAATTTTGTGATACTTCTTTTAGCTGCTCTTGTTAATGCTAACTATGATTTATTTTTTCCAGTGCACGTAAGGCTAAAAACAAAACCTTCCACTTAGAAGGGTTTTTTTCTGTTCTTCCTTTACATCTGCTACTCAGTTCTTCATTGTGGTGCTGTAGTGACAAGTTTCCAGAGGCATAATTTATATAGGATTTCATAGTATTAATATCATACTCTGGAGATTATTTAAAGGTTTATTTAGTTCCTTTCCATAGTTAGAAAATCATCTCATTACCACATTTTTCACCCACAAAGCAATTTCTAGGCATGCCCTGTGCAGGCAGTTAACTATCAGCCTTACTTTATGGATCTAGAAGTGGTTTGAGGGAAAGACAGAAGTGTGTTAGTAGTTGATTGTTAGTTGGAAGGCCGATGCAGATCAAGTATCTGTGCCTTGAACTGTGGGAAATAAAAGACAAAATACTCTCGGGAATGAGAAGTTCTTGGTTATATACCTACATCACTAACAAATCTCTGATTTTTTTATGGGTACAGCCAAAGCTTCTGTTTACCTGATCCTGGATTAAGGAGGAATGAATGTTCATTCATGTAACTGCATTTAGGGGGAAACAATTAGATTAGTGATCTCATGTTCTCTATTGCTGTTATGTTTTGTTCTCTTGAAGTCAGTCCCCCTGATCCTAGAGGATAGGTCCACTAATGGCTATTAGACAAGATGGTCTGGGACGCAATCCCATGCTCTGGGTGTCCCTAAAGCCCTAACTGCCAGAAGCTGGGACTAGCCGACAAGAGATGGATCACTCAATAATTGCCCTGTTCTGTTCATTCCCTCTGAAGCATCTGGCACTGGCCACTGATAGACGACAGACCAATGGTCTATCCGGACCAATATCCTGACCCAGAATGGCCATTCTTATGTTCTTATCCTCGTGTACAACTCAATGGGAGTTTCATACCATTGATCAAGGAGACTGTGTTGCTCATATAATAGAATATTATAACAGTTGTTTGAATATAGTTTAATTTCAAAATTTGTGTTGTTTGGTGCATTCTGGCAATCTTTGAAAGAGAATTGACTTGGGATCCTACTGTTAAATATTAAGCAGTCCAAAGACTTGTTGCAACTTGGTATAAATTACATAATTTAATACTTACATTATATAGGATTTTTTTCTCTTCTTCTCAATAGATTGACAAGATTGTTTCCATAGCAGAAGATATAAAGAATATAGGAAATACTTTCTTCAAAACACAGAACTGGGCAATGGCAACTAAAAAGTACACTAAAGGCTTAAGGTAAGAGTTCCTGCTGCAGAAACCAAGGTGAGGCATTCTAATTAAATGTCCCTAGATTTGAATATTGACAGGGGGTTTAACGGTTGGCATAAGAACATAAGAGCTTCCATACTGGGTCAGACCGTGGTATATCTTGTCACAGTGATCCCTACCAAAGCTTTGGTGGGAGTATACCAGAACAGGACAATTATGGAGCGATCTACCCCTGGCGTCTACTCCCGGCTTCTTGGTAGTCAGAGGTTTAGGGTTGTCCCGAGCATACAGTTGTATCCCTGATCGTTTTGGCTAATAGCCATTGATGGGCCTATCCTCCGTGAACGTATCCAGTTCTTTTTTTAATCCAGTTATGCTTTTAGGCATCACAACATCCCATGATAATGAGTTCCACAATTTAATCGTGCGTTGTGTGAAATGTAATTCCTCATTTTTATTAAAGCTGCAGCCTATTAATTTCATTGGGTGACACATATTTTTGTATTGTAAGAAAGGGTAAATAACACTTCCCGATTCATACTTTCCATGATTTAGTTGTCTCTCTTGTAAGGTGAACAGTCCTTATCTTTTTTGGTCTCCATACCCACTGTTTCATACCCTCCATAGCCGTTCCATACCCTTGATCATCTTTGTTGTTCTTCCCTGAACCTTGTCAGTTCCACTATTTTTTTTGTTTTGAGATGGGATGACCAGGACTGGACACAGCATTCATGGTGTGGGAGCATCATGCATTTATATGGTGGCATTGTGATATTTACTGTCTTATTTTCTATCCTTTCCCTATTACTTCTTAATATACTGTTAGCCTTTTTGACTGTGGCTGTGTATTGAGTGGAAGTTTTCAGAGAACTATCTAGAGTGACTCCAACATCTCTTTCTTCAGTGGTAACAGCTAATTTAGAACCCACTGTATATGAATAGTTGGGATTATTTTTTGCATTTATCAGAGTTGAATTTCATCTGCCATTTTGTTGCCCAGTCACCCAGTTTTGTGAGATCTCTCTAGCTCCTTGCACTCTACTTTGGACTTAACTATGTTGAATAATTTTGTATCATCCTTACACTTTTGCCACTTTGTTGTTCACTCCTCTTTTCCAGATCATTAATGAACATGTTGAACAGAACAGGTTCCGGTACAGATCCTTTGGGGAGCCCCACTGTTCACCTCTCCATTGTGAAAACTGACCACATATTCCTACCATTTGTTTCCTCTCTTTCAGCCAGTTACTGATCCATGAGAACATTGTCCCTCTTATCCCATGGCTTCTTAATTTCCTTAAGAGCCTTTGGTGCCGGACATTGTCAAAGGCTTTCTGAAAAGCAAGAACACTGTATTGACTGGATCAACCTTATCCATGCTTGTTGACTCCCTCTAAGAATTCTAATAGATTGAGGCATGATTTCCCTTTACAAAAGCCATGTTGACTCTTTCCCAACAAACCATGTTTGTGTGTCTGATAATTCTGTTCTTTACTATCGTTTCTACCAATTTATCTGCTACTGAATTTAGGCTCATCAACCTGTAATTACCGGGATTGCCTCTGCAGCCCTTTTTAAAAAGTGGTGTTACATGAGCTACTACCTTCCAGTCATCTGGTACAGAGGCTGATTTCAAGATAGTTGACATAGTATAGTTAGTAGTTCTGCATATTCATGTTTGAGTTCCTTCAGAACTCTTCAGGGAATACCATCTCTTCCAGGTGACTTATTCCTGTTTATCAGGTTGTTCTAAAACCTTTTTTATTGACACATCAATTTGGGGCAGAGCATTCAACTGCAGAATTAATTTCCTTCCCCATCTCCAGCATGCTGGGTTTTTTTAGTGTTTTGTATAGCATCCATTGCTGCAGTATTCAAACATTTCACAACTAAACTGGATCTGCTTAGCTAAGTCCCTAATGAATTTCAGTGATCTCTGCTCTCTTCTGTTCTTTGATTACAGGGAGCTCTGACTGAATTGAACATATGTGAAATCATGTTTTGTTTTGTTTTTTAAAAAGTAAATCTTGTGATGATGGAAACACTGTTCCAAAGAGGAAGGTCTTAGAAATAGATGAATGGTGGAGTAGTCAGATTTCTTCTGTAGGATTATTTTATTGCCAGGCTGATCTCCTTACGTCATCTGATTATGCTTCCACCTTGCCTTTGTCAACTGCATTATCCCAGAAGATCTCAACTATCTTTGTGGTTCGTGCATAGAGATGAAGTCACTGATGTAGTTGAGTCCTGACTTTGAAGTTCAAAAACCGAGCCTTGAACTGGCTATGACAAGCGTTGCAACTGCATGCAGTATCTTGAGGGGAAACATATTGTATTAGGCTCATGTATCACTGTGGGCCAGGGTTTGTATTTATGATTGCATTTTACTCCAAGAAGAAGGCTGCCACAGCTCTTCAGGAACTAAAACAGTGGGGGTCATTAAGGAGAATCACTCAAGTTGTAATCACCTCCAGAGAGGTACTACATCCTTTGGAGGTTTGCATATTTTGATTCAATCTGGGTTTCCAGTCTTGGAAGACAGGGCTTTTGGCATAAAAAGGCTGTGTTTAAACTGATGCATGGCCTTCTTTCTGATCCAGCAAACGGACAGGATCATCTGTCCAAGGGAGGCCCCACAACCCTTGCAGAAGGGTTGGAAGGACTTTGACTCGCTAAGGCCCCATAAGACTGATGGGTGACCTCCGGTAAGCTTTTAGCATGCACATAGGCATTTTCACTTTTTGTCTTCTCTGTAATGCTTTCACCTTAAGAATAAATGTGCTTGCTTCAAAAGAAACATGTGGTAACTTGTAACTGCTGGCAAATACAATGTGCAGAGCCAGTGGAGAGAAAGAAATAGCCTTTAGGTAGACTGGCTTGCTTGCCCTGTACTGTGATATCCCAGGGAGCTGTGCAGCCTTAAAACCCCAGTCAGAAGAGAGTGAAACAAGGGTTCCTGCCCAGGGACTGGTGGTGGCTGGAGACCTCAGACTTGGCTGGGAATTCCTGGAGTGGACTACGGAGCTGGGTGGGAGAGATGCAGGTGCAGTTTCTTCAAAACTATGACACTAGCATCACAAGGAAATGGGAATTATACCCCTCCTCTTTTCTCTCCACTAATTTTCTTATGGCAGTCTTGTTTGTTGGAGGTAAATGACTGCATTTTGCAAACTCTGCAGCTTATATTGTTTACCTGTACAGTTTCAAGTACAACGAGTTAAAATAATTCAGGTAGTGTAGCCAAATACTTGGAGAGGAGGAAGGGGCAATGTTGTGTAAAAGATGATTATTTAAAATTGTGGTGTGTGTTGTTTTTTTTTGTACAGCCAATTGTAGGAAGCATAAGTTCAGTTTAATTCTTTTATATAACCATATAATGGGCATGGATGTTTAGAAATAGTAAACTAAGGTGGATAAGAGTTCATGTGACTGGTAGTTCTTGCATATACTTTCAGCAAGATAGCAAAGGGCAGAAAAAAGTTAATGTTGCAAGTTACAGTATATACACTAATACATACAATTTGTAAATTTGTTTTGTGCAGGTATGTGGAAGCTTCTAAAGCCATAGTGGAGGAATCAAATACAGCAAAGTTTAATCCTACTGCCTTGATCTGCCTTTTAAATATTGCTGCTTGTAAACTGAAGGTGTCAGACTGGCAGGGAGCTATTGAAAGTTGTTGTGAGGTAAGCTAAATTTCATCTTTTGATTAGTAGAAAGTGATTTGGAAAATAAAGACAAGACTAAAAACCTTTTTTCAAAATCAGGTTTGGCGAGGCTCATTTTCCTATAATAAATTAAAGGAAGATAGGCAAGGCTTTAGTGCAAACCACTTTTAATATACAAATTAACTCATTTTTGGCAGGCTGTTTACTTGTTCAGAAAAAATAGTAGTGGAGTCACATCAGTAATATTTCAGAATACAAGTTATTATTTATTGGAGCTAAATGCAAGCTGTGCATTTTCTGGGAGCACTCTTACTTTGTATAGAACAATAGATTACATTATCTTTCAGAAACAAGGAACCTTTTTATAAGTGTGTAGCATTCAGCAAGCTTTACCCTCACTCTTTGAATCAGATTTCTAGTTTTATTTTACAGGTTAATTGTAATGAATGGATAACTTTGGCTAAATGGTAAAGGGAAGGCAGCAATTAGAAATGAAAAGGCAATATAACCAATTGAAAAAGGGGAAAATAGCAAACTGATGTAAACTGGAAGCGAAGTGCAGACATTAGACAAGAGAGAACGGAGGAATTCAAAGGCTAAGGCCAAATAGGAGTTAAGTTTTAGGAACAAAGGAACACCTAGCAACAGTTATAAGCCCATAACTATTTGGAGCTCAAATTGATTATGATGATGATGAAAAAAGGCAGAAGTGTTCAGTAACTGTTACATATATGGAGAAAAAAGCAGAATGATGTACTCCTCACATAAAGATGAGGTATTTTCCAGACCATTAATAATTGAGGGTGTTAGACAAATTTTAGTAGGTTATTTTTATTGGTCCAATAAAAGATATTTCCTCACCCACCTTTTCTCTAACATTACTGCAGATAAACACTTTGAAATCAGCAGGCCCAGATAACTTGCACTCAAGCTGAAAGAGTCAGCTGAGGCAATCTCTGGTCAGCTGATCACTTTTGATAAATCTTGGATTGCCAGGGAAATTCCAGAAGATTGGAAGAATGCCAATATTTAAAACAGGCAAACAGGATGAGCCAGGTAACTGTAAGCCAGCTTGTCTGACATCAGTCCTGCACAAAAGAATAGAAGAGCTGATAAAGGATTCAATTGATAATAAATTTAAAGGATAGAAGTAGAATTAATGCCAGTCAGTATGGTTTTCTTGTCAAACAAATCTGATTTCATGCTTTGAGATTACAAATTTGGTTGATAAATGTAACTACATAAATGTAATAAACTTTTGTAAGGCATTTGACTTAATACCACATGACATTCTGGTTTAAGAATTAGCAATTTAAAAATCAAAGCAAACATTAAACAGACTAAACTGTTGAGCTAACACATCTCAAAGTAGCTGTCAATAGGGAATCATCATCAAAGAAGGGAGTTTCTAGTGGGATTCCATATGGCTTGGTGCCAAGCCTGATGCTAGTCAATATTTCCATCAATGATCTGGAAGTTAATATAAAATTGTTGCTGATTAAAATTTGCAGATGAGACAGATTAGCAAAATGGTAAATGATGAGGACAGGGTAGTCCTACAGAGCAATTTGGATTGCTTGTAAGCTATCCCCATTAAAAATTTAATATTGCCAAATGAAAAACTATACATCAAGAAATAAAGAATGAGGGGCTGTATCCTGGAAAGAGACTCTGGAACAGATTTTAGGTGTTACAGGGAACAAACAATGCAGCACTGAGCTCCTGGTATGATGCAGTGGCAAAAAGAACTAATGTGATCCTTCGATGGTACAAACAGGAGCAGTCGGAGTAAAAAGGGGTTTTACTCTTGTATGTGGCATTGGTGAGAATGATACTGGAATATTTCACTCAGTTCTGCAGTCCACATTTTTAAAAAACACTGAAAAATTGGAGGGGGTGCAGAAAAGAGACACGAGAATGATTTGAGGATGTGAGTTTTGTTTATCAAAATGATTGAGAGGTGATTTGATTAGTGTACAAGTAGCTTGCGGGGGAGAAAATAATGAGTACTAAAGTGAGTACTTTAATCTAGCTGAGAAAAGCTGAAAGATTAAACCAGACAAATACAAATGAGAAATAAGGTCCAAATTATTAATAGAAGATGATTAACCATTAGAACAAACTACCAAGGGAATTGGTGGATTCTCCATCCTTTGATGTCTTAAAAATAAAAACTGTATACCTTTCTAGCCAATCAAGTAATTAGACTCACTGCAGGGGTAACTGGGTGGAATTTAGTGGCCTGAATTATTCAGGAGATCAGACTGGATGGTTTAATGGTCCTTTTTGTCATTAAATAATGGATTCATTGAGTATTTAAGTGGTTAGAAAATTTGCAGTAATCATACAAATCTATCCTTTATCCCACCATCCCTGAATCTGTTGGGGATAGAAGGAGAAGCTGCACCTGCTTATGGGCTCATTTCTGTAGACAGGGAATTAGCACTATTAATACTCAACAACATGCTAGATCAGAGGTAGGCAAACTGCAGGCTACATCTGGCCTGCAGGACGTCCTGCCCAGCCCTTGAGCTCCTGGCTGGGGAGCCTAGCCCCAGCCCCTGCCCTGCTGTCTCCCCTCCCCCGCAGCCTCACCTCATTGTGCTGCCAGTGCTCTGGCCCACTGCTCCTGCCAGGCAACGTGGCTGGCTCTGGCTGCTCTCAGCAGCATGGTAAGGGGGCGGGGGTTGGATAACGGGCAGGGGATCCTGGGGAGGCAGACAGGGAGCAGCTGGATGGAGTGGGGGGCACGGTCAGGGAGCAGGGGGGATTGGATAGGGGTCAGGGGTCCTGTCAAGGGGTGGGGGTGTGGATGGGGTTGGAGCAGTCAGGGGCCAGGCTGGTTGGGGAGGCACAGCCTCCCCTACCCAGCCGTCAATACAGTTTTGCAACCTCGATGTGGCCCTTGAGCCAAAAAGTTTGCCCACCCCCGTGCTAGATAAACCCTGGATAGTAATACTGCACTCTATTGATTGATTGTGCTTTCATTTAAAAGTTGATTTGTTTTCAGGCAGCTTACCCTTAAAATAGATGGGTTCATAGAATATCAGGGTTGGAAGGGACCTCAGGAGGTCATCTAGTCCAACCCCCTGCTCAAAGCAGGACCAATCCCCAATTAAATCATCCCAGCCAGGGCTTTGTCAAGCCTGACCTTAAAAACTTCGAAGGAAGGAGATTCCACCACCTCCCTAGGTAACGCATTCCAATGCTTCACCACCCTCCCAGTGAAAAAGTTTTTCCTAATATCCAACTTAAATCTCCCCCACTGCAACTTGAGACCATTACTCCTTGTTCTGTCATCTGCTACCACTGAGAACAGTCTAGATCCGTCCTCTTTGGAACCAACCCCCTTTCAGGTAGTTGAAAGCAGCTATCAAATCCCCCCTCATTCTTCTCTTCCGAAGACTAAACATCCCCAGTTCCCTCAGCCTCTCCTCATAAGTCATGTGTTCCAGTCCCCTAATCATTTTTGTTGCCCTCCACTGGACTCTTTCCAATTTTTCTGCATCCTTCTTGTAGTGTGGGGCCCAAATCTGGACACAGTACTCCAGATGAGGCCTCACCAGTGTCGAATAGAGGGGAACGATCACGTCCCTCAATCTGCTGGCAATGCCCCTACTTATACATCCCAAAATACCATTGCCCTTCTCGGCAACAAGGGCACACTGTTGACTCGTATCCAGCTTCTCATCCACTGTAACCCCTAGGTCCTTTTCTGCAGAACTGCTGCCGAGCCATTCGGTCCCTAGTCTGTAGCGGTGCACTGGATTCTTCCATCCTAAGTGCAGGATTCTGCACTTGTCCTTGTTGAACCTCATAAGATTTCTTTTGGCCCAATCCTCCAATTTGTCTAGGTCCCTCTGTATCCTATCCCTACCCTCCAGCGTATCTACCTCTCCTCCCAGTTTAGTGTCATCTGCAAACTTGCTGAGGGTGCAATCCACACCATCCTCCAGATCATTTATGAAGATATTGAACAAAACCGGCCCCAGGACTGACCCTTGGAGCACTCCACTTGATACTGGCTGCCAACTAAACATGCAGCCATTGATCACTACCCGTTGAGCCCAACAATCTAGCCAGCTTTCTATCCACCTTATAGTCCATTCATCCAGCCTGTACTTCTTTAACTTGCTGGCAAGAATACTGTAGGAGACAGTGTCAGAAGCTTTACTAAAGTCAAGGAACACCACGTCCACTGCTTTCCCTTCATCCACAAAACCAGTTATCTCATCATAGAAGGCAATTAGATTAGTCAGGCATGACTTGCCCTTGGTGAATCCAGGCTGACTGTTCCTGATCACTTTCCTCTCCTCTAAGTGCTTCAGAATTGATTCCTTGAGGACCTGCTCCATGATTTTTCCAGGGACTGAGGTGAGGCTGACTGGCCTGTAGTTCCCAGGATCCTCCTCCTTCCCTTTTTTAAAGATGGGCACTACATTAACCTTTTTCCAGTCGTCCGGGACTTCCCCTGATCGCCATGAGTTTTCAGAGATAATGGCCAGTGGCTCTGCAATCACATCCGCCAACTCCTTTAGCACTCTCGGATGCAACACATCCGGCCCCATGGACTTGTGCTCCTCCAACTTTTCTAAATAGTCCCGAACCACTTCTTTCTCCACAGAGGGCTGGTCACCTCCTCCCCATGCTATGCTGCCCAGTGCAATAGTCTGGGAGCTGTTGTTCATGAAGACAAAGACATGTAGCTTTTTCCACATCCTCTGTCACTAGGTTGCCTCCCTCATTCAGTAAGGGGCCCACACTTTCCTTGACTTTCTTCTTGTTGCTAACATACCTGAAGAAACCCTTCTTGTTACTCTTAACATCCCTTGCTAGCTGCAACTCCAGGTGTGATTTGGCCTTCCTGATTTCACTCCTTCATGCCCGAGCAATATTTTTATACTCATCCCTAGTCATTTGTCCAATCTTCCGCTTCTTTTTTGTATTTAAGATCAGCAAGGATTTCACTGTTAAGCCAAGCTGGTCGCCTGCCATATTTATTATTCTTTCTACACATTGGGATGGTTTGTCCCTGTAACCTCAATAAGGATTCTTTAAAATACAGCAAGCTCTCCTGGACTCCTTTCCCCCTCATGTTATTCTCCCAGGGGATCTTGCCCATTGGCTAATTGTGTGTGTTTTGGCACTCTTCATATTAGCGGAAGGCTTTAGAGCAGTGGTTCTCAGAGCCAGTCCACCGCTTGTTGAGGGAGAGCCCCTGGCGCGCCGGACTGGTTTGTTTACCAGCCGCATCCGCAGGTTCAGTTGATTGCTGCTCCAGGCCAATGGGGGCTGCAGGAAGGGTGGCCATCATGTCCCTTGGCCTGTGCTGCTTCCCACAGCCCCCATTGGCCTGGAACGGCATACCGTGGCTAGTGGGAGCCGCGATCGGCTGAACCTGCAGACGCAGCAGATAAACAAACCAGTCCAGCGCTCCGGGGCTTTCCCTCAACAAGCAGCGGACTAGCTTTGAGAACCACTGCTTTAGAGTACACTGATGAATACTAAACCACTTTTATTCATTTTGCAGGCACTTGCAATAGATCCAGCAAACACCAAAGCACTTTACAGACGGGCTCAAGGCTGGCAGGGAATAAGAGATTTTGATCAGGCACTGGTAACTATTTTTGTTGCTGTTGTTTTTTAAAGGATCAATAAAGCATCTACTTATTTTTTTGTATTTTTTATTGAAGGCTGATCTTAAGAAGGCTCAAGAGATAACACCTGAAGATAAAGGTAAACTGTCAAGCGAATTTTAGCAATGTGGCATATATTCTCTTTTAGGGCATGGCTACACTTGCAGTTGTAGAGCACTGGGAGTTAAACCAGCCTTCGGAGACCACAGCAGGGAAAACACTGCTGAGTGTTTGCACTCTCAGCTGGAAGCACACTGGCGTGGCCACATTAGTGGTTCTTGCAATGCCACAAAGAGCAGCGCATTGTCATCACTATCTCAGTGTGCAAGTGGCTGCCACACGCTTTTCAAATGTGGGGCATGAGGTGCAGTGTGTATGTGGAGGGAGAATGAGTGGGTTGGGGGTGGGAAATGACAGCATGCTGACATGCTCTCTTGTAAGTTCAGACAGCAGCTGACCTCCTCTCTCTCTCTCTCTCTCTCACTCAAAGCAAGCAGCGTCTCTCAGTAATGGTTCCTTTGTCCTGGAGCAGATAAGTAGCCAGCTGTCAGAAAGCCAATCCCTCCCTGTTTGAAAGGGCATATCAGCGAGTTCAAAACAATGACAAGAGTGGCCACTTGATGTAAAGGGATTATGGGACATTTCCGGAGGTCAATCAGAGCACAGTAACATAACACCTCTTTCACACTGGTGCTGCAGTGCAGCATACATTATTCCACTTGCCGAGGTGGAGTACCAGCAGTGCTCTATGTGCCTTGCCTGTGAGCTAGCGCGCTGTAACTTGCAAGGGTAGCCACGCCCTAACAGGCTTTTACATAGTATTATGTTAGTTCTGCAAGAGATGAAGTAAGACTCAGAATTTTTCATTTTGTGAGGTCCCTACTTCCTAGACATTGACAAAATATGAGGACATAGAATTAGTGCTGAAGTAACTCTCTTTCACACAGAGAGTCTGCTGCTGATAGCTGTCAATCTTCCACTCGAAGTGTCTTCTACCTCTCTTGTTATAGAGGAAGAGGCATGCATCTCCTTGGGTCAGGGAGTTCTACTTCAGCAAGAACTAAGTGGGGTTTGTGCATCCTTTATCCTAAAAAATCTGAAGTTGCTTTCTGGTTTGATTCCATTCTCTGCTGCTTAACTGAATGTTACTCTTTGGATCAGGAATTCAGGCTCACTACTGTTTCCTACATCCATTTCTCTGAGCCTATTTATCCTATTTTGCAATTGAATGGAAAAAACAGTTGGGGAGGATTTTTCACTAGTACCCAGCTTGATAACTACTCCCTATGACTAGAATCCAGGCAGACACAGTTTAGCCTATGTAAAGCATAAAATAAAAATGGGTGATTGATATAGTGCTGTGGGACAACTGTAGGAGGTGGAAAGCCATGTTGTGTTTTTTTTTTAAACAGCTATCCAAACTGAAGCACTCAAGGTGAAACAGAAGATAAAGGCCCAAAAGGAAAAGGAAAAAGCAGCTTATGCTAAAATGTTTGCTTAAGTGAAGGTTTTTTCCTGTTAAAGTTTAGGCACTGAATGACTGACCCATACACTATTGTACGCACTCCTACTATATGAGACAAGACACTGTAGAGGCAAGTGTTACTTCTGTTATCTGTCCTATACCGCACTCAATTGATTATTTCCAATGTTTACTATTTAAACTGGAGTTTCATACTAAAAGTAAAAATTTTGGTTTTCAATTGTTTTTATAGCTAAAGTGACTCTCAGAAAACAATAAGACACATACTTAACCATATTAGTTATTCTTAAAAGTTTACCAGATCATCAGTTTTAACACCCAGGAAGCAAGTTGAAGTACAGTATTCTCCCATTAGTTCCTTCACTAGAGCAGCAAGTCAGCATGTATACATCAGTACCACTATAAGTAGTTCTGTCTAAGACAAACAGTTTGTAAACACTATTCATAAACTCAGTTGTTCACTCAAAACCACGTTTTATGGCAAACTAGCTTTATTAAAAGTTTCTTCCTTTGAAACAGGAAGCTTGCTAAATATTTGCCTGTCTACTTAATGTAACCTTTGAAAGCAGTGATACAGTATTCCCTTGCTTGACTCATTTTCCCTAATGCAACTGAAAATTAACCAAAATTGCATTGATAGAACATGGTAGGAAGGAGCAGAAAACATGAATTCACCATATTTTTACAGCTGTGGTTCAGGGTGTTTCCACTGAACTTTGGCAAGAGATCTAACATCAAGTTGTAAGTCACAGAAAACAGCACTTGGGAAAGCTGCACCACCGTCTTTGATCCAGTAAAAAGGCATATTCTTTCATAACTAAGGCTAAGATCTGTCTGACTGCCTTGACTGTGCATTCACTATTTAACATAGTGGTTAATGAAATTTCTTACCACATAGTGGTATGAAATTCAGCTGGCTCAGTAACCTCACCCAATTAACGTTCACTCAGTAATAGGCTTAGTTACACCATAGCATATATTTGTGTGAGGTTATGACGTGTCCAGGAAGTACACTGGATAGTTTTGATCAAATTTACATTCCATTATAAGCTGGCCCTCCTCCCCCTTCAGGTACTACCCAGTTAATATTCTGGCTTGGGTCTTTAATATCACATGTTTTGCAGTGGACACAATTCTGAGCATTTATCTGCAACCGTAACCCTTCTCCTGTTTCCAGGGGAACATATTCATAAACACCTGCAAAAGATGAGAATGATGTGTCACTGCAGTGGACAGATGAGTAAACAATTGAATGCTAAGACCTAGATTTAAAAGATTCTATTACAAACTCTTGCACTCTTCAATAACCATTACCTTACAAATGCTCTGACTACCATCTGGTAACTTCATTATGTAGTTCAGTTGTCTCTTGTACACTTGTATTGACAATTGCTTTGTCAAGAAATGCATTTTCCCCAAAAAATTAGTTCAGGAAGGACCTTGGGTCCAGTGTACTCCAGAAGGCCACCCCCCACAACTCTTCCCTTAGGCAGCGGAACCAGTGGAGTGTCTCCAGAGCATATGCAGGGCAGGGACAGGCTCCAGCTGCTGCTTCTGGACTGTTGATGCTGCCTGGTGCACAGAGGAAGGGGCCAGTGAACACACAGAAAACAGCCTGGATATGCCCTAGCAGCATGTGGAGTGAGTTTTGGGTAGAGAGTCAGCAGCTTGGTAACTATCACAGCCCAGTCATGGGGAGTGTATAGCTAGCTGGGGGAGTGGGCAGGGGAGAAGCCAACCATGCTGCTGGAGAGGGACAAGCAGGGATATGGGTGGGTCCCCAAGAAAGACAAAATGCAGTTGGTAGTTATCTTAAACGGTTTGGGAACCACTGCCTAAAGGAACTAAAAGGCCTACTAGGCCAGGTCATTTCCCCTTCTGAAACATTTCAGTAAAAATATGTAAGTACCTTTCCCTTCACTTTGCAAAGCTGTTAGTTTATTCAACCATTGTTCATTTTAATTACCTACCTGCAGGACAGAATCTCTGTTCTGGCCCATCGTATATAGCTAAATTTTTGTTCACAGGGACACTGTCATCCTTCAGAGTCAAATGAGGAGGCTGGTCATGTTCATGATTTGTCCCACTTAGAGCCACAGAGGACAGGAGATCAAAACTGATTTTTCCATCAGGCTTTGGATATTCAATAGGAGTACAATCTTTGGCTGGCTTTAGTTGATCAGAGTCTGGCCCTAAAGTAATTTTGAATGAAACATTAAGTTTCCTAGTGTGCAAATATTTAGTTGAAATTAATGTACAGTTATCCAAATCAAAAACTGTAATTTACAGTAAGGCAACTGGAGCTGAGACTCCCATTACCTTTACAAAATGTTCTGTAGAATTCTTAGCCACAAATGGTCATGTTAGCTGTGTCTCAACAGAAAGATTATCTCCAGTAGTGTGGTGCCCCCAATCCCTCTATTGAACTACAGCAGGTCACTGATTCCATAGGACACACAAAACCACCACCTACAGACACTTACTTTCTACATCCTCCCTTTTAACATGACTTGAGTACTGACCCAATCCAACCTTGCTTAATGCGAAACCACAAGAGACCATAAGACAGATACAAAACGTACATGTGTATTTTCTCAAAGAAAATTACCTGGATGTTTTAATGTCCATGGTTCCATTCCTCTCAGTATCCAATAAAATATACCAGTATAAATCATTCCTCCATAGACACCCAGTACTCCATGGCAGGAAGGTCGGATATTCCTAACAGAATAGAGCTCTTTCCACACCCAGGATTTCTTCAAGTTTTCTTCATATTCAGGCACATCAAGTCCTAGTGGTAACATACATTATTTGTTAAATGCTTATAGCGTGATTTCAGGGAAGATTAGGTCCTTGAAATAAGAATTTGTTGCAAGTTGAGAAGTGGTTATTAGCAATGGATTAAATCATTTTCAAAGCACAAAGATCAGGGTTTTTTTTAAAACTAGATTTAGACCCATTTATAATATAGTGAACCTAAATTCCTTTATTACCACGGAAGAAAATGAGAGCTTGTAATGAAAGCCAACTGTACACTTAAATGCTTAAAATGGGGATTCTTTTCGGAAATACAGTTCTAACTTTCTCAGACACTTTTTCCAGGAGTTTCTAGTATATTTGTACGTAAAATTATCAAAGCAGGTATGCTTAAATTCAGTTTTCAAATATTTATAAAATGAAGTGGTGCTACAGGTTCTTGTGTTCAGGAATGGGACCCCTTAAGTCCTTAAAACTTCTCTTGCCTGGTGATAGGAGAAAAGGGACTTTGGAATGGAAAGCAAGAATACACGAGACTATAGTGCTTCACCATGATGTTTGGATGGCAGATTTCTGTAGAGGCCTGTGATTTACAGGAGGTCAGACTAAATGATCTAATGGTTCTTTCTGGCTTTGAGCACAACTCTATGAATACTCTGAGAAATGTTAAACTTCCAGACAGAGGCAGTTTATCAAAATCATTTTGCCTTTGAAAATGCAAAATGACTGAACAAATGACAATGAAGACACAAATGACAATGAGGATGCCAGTGCTGTAAGTTCACTTTAGACTCTGCTAAGCTGTAAGCTAACTAGAGTAACCCACCTATTATCCGACCACCAAGCTTCAAAAGATTATATATACAAAACTTACAGCTATGCAACCATGAGCACTGTGATTTGAAAACTCCATCCTCAATGCAAGAAGTCTAATATTTTATTGTACTATGCTAAATGTAATTTCACTATAGCAGACCATCTTTTAAGTAAGGCCTGGAGAAGACAACTTATTAAAGCAAAACTCCATGAGGAGACATTTCCCCCAATTAGTAATTTTATATGGGAATGGATTCTGAAATACAGGAAATAGAATTTACAGAACCATCTATACTAAAAGAGCCATTAATATACTGTGCAGTGTTCTGCCATAGGTTAGGGTGTCTGTTAAACAATTTATTACATGCATGGGAAAGCAGTTCTGTACCCACATTAGGAAACACTATTTTCCTGTCCACACTGACAGGAGGTCTACTATAAAACAGATTCCCATGACCATGGAAGAAAACAGTGCACTAAAATACTGGACTTGTTAGTGTAGATCGGGGTGGGCAAACTTTTTGGCCGGAGGGCCACATTGGGGTTGCAAAACTGTATGGAGAGCCAGGTAGGGAAGGCTGTCTCCCCCCAAACAGCCTGGCCCCTGCCCCCTGGAACCCCACCCCCTATCCACACACCCCTGCTCCTCATCCCCTGACTGCCCCCCGGGGCCCCCTGCCCCTTATCCAACCCCACCATGCCACTCAGAGCAGCAGGAGTGCTGGCAGCGCAGCACACTGAGGCTGCAGGGGAGGAGGGACAGCAGGGGAGGAGCTCAGGGGCTGATCAGGATGTGGCATGCAGGCCATAGTTTGCCCACCTCTGGTGTAGATAGTCCCTAAATATCTTTTTTTGCCTGCTGTATTAAGGAAAAGCTGGAGAGTTCAGTTGGTAAAGATGCAGCAATAGTTTCTCACACTACATCTGTACTTACCACGTAATACATTTTTAAAATGAATAAGAACTTGTAGTTGTGGGGAAGCAGCTGTCATTAAAAAGTATACTTCGCTTAAACAATGTACAATTTTCTCTTAAACCAACTTAGAAGAGGTGGTTTATTTGGCTTTCAAATAGTTCCTTCAACTGAACACATAAGCCAGTTACAAGTTTAAATACGATCTTACCTATTGTCTTCGATTGGAGGTTCTCATTAGTTAGTTGGTTGAAAACAGCTTCTGAAGCCAACATGCCACTTTTCATTGCAGTGTGTGTACCTTTGATTTTAGGAACATTCATGAAACCAGGACTGCAACCAATTAATACTCCACCAGGGAAAGTGAGTTTGGGTATAGACTGTAGAGAAAAATTCAGTGAGATTAAGATTTTTTTTTTTTTTAAAATGAGCATGTATGATGGAAAACAAATCTGGCATGAGACCAGGTCCTGAGCAAATAAGAGATATCAAGGCCAGTATTGCAGAATGTCATGGGTTTTGTTTAATCAAATGGAAGCTCAAGAAAACAAATGTGATCTCATTACACTATTCCTCTCAAAATGATTGCTCTACTGAATAGATTATGATAAGGTCACTCAACAGGTGCCTCCTCTTCCCCGCCACAGATCTTCTGCTCCCGCGTTTAAAATGACAATGCCTATGTAGCCTGAAAGCTTGTCTATTTCACCAACAGAAGTTGGTCCAATAAAAGGTATTACCTCACCCACCTACTCTCTGCTTTAATAAGTCAAGCTTCCGTCCTCTCATTGTAACTGTATCAGTCTAGCTCCCTGTTTAGTTCTCAAGTCTGCATCCTCTTTCTTAGTTGACAGATTGACTTTCCAGGCATTACTGAGTTTGGCACAAAGTCTCAGTTCCTTTAAGGAAAAAAAGTTGTGCAGAGACCAATAATGGAATGGTTTCTGGGCACATCTTTCCCTCTCCCTTTCTTTTGAGAAGTATAATATAATCAAGTAGTGAGGGTCACTTCTGAGAAGTTTGCCTGTGGAAAAGTAAACCTCTAAAGCCACATCCCTAAAATAACTAAATGATTCACATGTCAGTCACATGGAGCAAAAACATCAAGAAATTCCAATAAGTATATATAACCACATTTGGATTATCTTTGAAGATTTTTTTTCTTGCTAAGTTGGAATGCTTACAGGAGGATAGTTACTAAAATTTGAAGATGCGTTACAGCATTCCTTCCTCTTTACAGGACAGTGTTTGTTTTGTGTGCTGGTTACTCCCCTCAAGCTGCGAACTTGAGATTGCCTTCACAGTGAAGGCAACTGGGTTTGGGGGTCAGACAGGGTAATAGCAGTTTTTAAATCTTCAACTGGACATTTTCTCAGGTGATGTCCCTAAACATCCCTAGTTACACAGCTAAATACGGATTTCATGGGATTAAATGCACTCGTTACATCCTCTATGTTCATGAATACCACTAGTACTGTATTATAACTAATTCTGCTTGGCATAGTACCAGGGACAATAAAAGTGGTTTCCTGGCTGACTCTTTTTATTAAATATATTTTTCCCGTTCCATCTGTCTTTTCCAAAATTTTGCAAATTCCCATATCTTCCTGCATCAGTGCAAACACTCTCTTTAGAGAGAACATAACGGTTAAGCCACTTTAATATAAATTATCACTAGATCTCCATTCATGTTTTGTGAATTCCACAAGACTCTCAAGCAGATAGTGCTCTGGTGCTATCAGGAGAACCCCAGGAGTACTCACAGTAGTGTTAGAGATATGGCAATTTCCCTCCAATATTTTTGGGAGACCTTACTGTATTAAGTCTATGTATCACTGCAGGCCAGGAATTGTGAATATTTCCATGGCACTCATTGCCATGGGATACTGTGAAGGCCATAAGTATAACTAGGTCCAAAAAAGAATTAGATAATTTCATGGAAACTAGGTCCATCAGTGGGTATTAGCCAAGATGGTCAGAGATACAACCCCATGCTCTAGGTGTCCATAATCCTCTAACTGCCAGAAGCTAGGACTTAACAGGTGATCACCAGAAATTACCCTGTTCTGTTCATTGCCTCTGAAGCTACTGGCACTGGCCACAGTCAGACACAGGATACAGGGATAGGTGGTCCATTGGTCTGACCAAGTATGGCCACTCTTATGCTCTTACGACTAGGATAAGAAGCCTGAGCAGTGGAGACTGGGACTGGGTAGGCAAGGCTAATAGCATTGGGATAAGGAGCCAGAATGGGGAAAAGATAGGACTGAGCTATAGAGAGGTTGGGTTGGAGGGTGTAGACAGAGTATCTGTGCCCACTATTAAATGCTCCCTTTCAGAGTATGAAGGAAATTGGGTTTTTTCAGTGCGTTTTTTAAAAATTTAGGAAGTTACACACAAGCTACATAAACACAACATTTTTAAGGTTGCAAAGTCAAGCACTCAAAAGTTAGGAAATTCCAGAAATCAAGGTTGCTTGCTTGTGTGACCTTAATTTGCCCTCCTTGCATGTATACATTACGATAAAGTCTTCAACGGCATGATCACATCCTTTGTTTCCCATGGAACCCTTGCCTCATTCAGTGCACAAGATGGACCTGCTCTGGGAATGAATCAGGGTTGTGTAGTAAAGGAGGTTGTTGTCTGTGAGACCCTCTGCCTCATTTGGTGCAAAAGGTGGAAAGTGTGTAGTGAACGAGGCAGTGGGTTGTAGGAAGAGAAAGGACAGTCTCACGATTAAGGCAGTTGAATGCTGTCCTGAGAAAACTGGATTCTATCCCTGCTTCTGTCATATGTTCCTAAGTGATATTGGACAAGTCACTAAAACCAAGCTTTTCAAATTGCATGTTCCTCAAAGACAGAAGAATATGGCCTTAAGTTTATCTATAGTATACAAATTTGGAACTGCCGAGGGTAATTTTGTACATATATCCTTCTATATGTATGAGGCAATATCTTCACCAAAAAGAGAGAAAAACTAAGAGCTATAATTCTACTCAAATATAAACATAATTCTGTACTCCATGTGCTAACTGGTCAAAGACTTCTACTATAGATATCGTCAAGGCACCATATATGTTCGTATGATTGCTCCAGACAATTACCATTCTTGTTCCTATGGACATTTATTTCCTACTGATCAATGCAACATTTTTAAAGCCAGCAAACACACCTTTAAATGGCACATGCCTTGAAGAGTGGAGTAGTTAAAAATTAATGATCAACTAGCAAGTTTTAACATACAGAAAAGTAAACTCCATTTAATGTAGATATAACACAAATTACATACAATAAACCAGGGGTCGGCAACCTTTCAGAAGTGGTATGCCAAGACTTCATTTATTCTCTCTAATTTAAGGTTTTGCGTGCCAGTAATCCATTTTAACGTTTTTAGAAGGTCTCTTTCTATCAGTCTTTAATATATAACTAAACTAGTGTTGTATGTAAAGTAAATAAGGGTTTTAAAATGTTTAAGAAGCTTCATTTAAAAGTACATTAAAATGCAGAGCGCCCCCCCCCCTGGACCGGTGGCCAGGACCCGGGCAGTGTGAGTGCCACTGAAAATCAGCTCGCATGCCACCTTTGGCATGCGTGCCACAAGTTGCCTACCCCTGCAATAAACCAAGTTACACATTATTCAGAACAGAGGAGAGATGTGTACAAAAGCAGGATATTCAGCTGAACTCATGGTGACCACTGGAGAATGTCTATAGCAAATGCCTTATTCTCTCACATAAATCGGTATAGCCCAGGGCAAAGAGGCACATCTGGCCACTTCCTCCTAGCAAAAATACAGTAATGACTATTCAACTCTCTCTCTTTACTCCTGTACATATTTTGCTGTAACACAGACACAAGACATATAGGACATGCTAATTAATTTAGTAGATAGCGTGGCATTTTCTCAAGGCCTGACAATATTCATAGGAGTTGATCAATTCATTTTAGAAAGGCGAAGTGAGACTTCCTGGTGCTAAAAGGCATTGCTTTCTGTCCAGAAATTCCTTTTGTCCTTATCCAATCTTTTATTTCAATGGTCACTTGACGACAGACCAATTGAAGACATTTTAGTTTAGATATTACAAGTATAACTAGTTCTTGTTACTAGGGCCACAGGGAATTCAGGATAAATAGTTTAGTAGTGTTACAAAAGAAAATGCCCACACCCAAACAAAAACCCCAAACACACCCTTACCTGGAAACCACCTTCATTCAAGGCTCTAGCACCATAGCCAATCCTTTTTCCACCCTCAAAAGTGGGCTCCACACTGGGATGATGCTTCCATCTCTGGAACTCTTTAAATGGGCTCAAATAGGGATTTTGATAATCTAAACCAACCTTTAAAACAAAACATAAAACATGCCATGAATATTAAAATGTGAACATTTCAACAAAAGTTATTTTATACTCCTACTTTAAAGTGCCATATCAGCATTAAAACATGGTATGTTAGGTCCACTTTCATGTTACACCAACTTCATTATATTCAAGATGCAAGAAGCAGCCAAACTATATTCATGGCCTACGTCAGACCCATTAACACTATGCTCAGAACCAAGTCAGAGGACTTCGCTACAAGGTTGTCCCAAAAGTATCTAACCAAGTTGTAACCAGCTCCCATAACTAAGCCAAAGTCCATCCCACTGGAAATAAAATAATCATAATGAAACTGCATTTTTAAACAGTTTGCCTGAACAGTGTGGTTGAAACATAAAACTTCTTAAAAGTCATATCAAAACAATGCTCTGATCACTAGGTATTGCCCAGAGGCTTCTCCTTCAACTCTGGGTAAATAAGTAGTTAGTTTCAGCCACTCATTGATAAATTTTTCAAGCACTACTTTTACATGGCTTAAAGTTGAGTCAATTAACATTTCCAAATGAGTGAAGCATCCATATAAAGCACCAAGGGAACAATGATACAAAGACAGAATGAATGGATTAAGCTAAACTGCACAAAGTCACTCTTCGTATGAAATACGAGTGGCTACATTGGGTGCTAGTGTGCAGTTGCTATTCTGTGCTTTTTCCTGATGTACACAAGACCTTAATACATTGATAAGTGAACTGTTCCCATCGCACCCCCAATTACCATTAACGGAATCTGTCTGTGCCTCCCCTCCATTACTGCACAGCCAAGGTCATCTTAGCAGTGGAGCTTGGAGAGGAACTGGGGCGAGAGAAGGAGTTGGTCTGAGAGAAGAGAAGGAATAAGGGCAGAGTTGGGCTGAGGGCAAAACGGGACTGGAGACGGAAAAGAAAAGGGGCTGAAAGAGGAGGGGTGGAGCAAGTCTGGAAGCATGGCGTTCCCTCTCCATCCCAAGTGGAGCCTGTCCTGGGCCCTGCCGCACGTCCCGTGCCCCAAATGTTCCTCCACACTCCTTAAAGGTGTGGCGTGCCCCACAGTTTGGGGACCACTGCCTTAATGCAAAGGCCTTGTTGCAATAGTCTGGTCTGGAGGTTATGAAGGTATAGAAGATAGAGGCAAACAAAGGGAAAATGGGATTTGGGGGGAAAGTTGTTTATACTACTTAAACAGGAGGGAATACATTTATCCATGATCAGCATGGTAGTACAAGAACCAAGTATTAACAAGATTCTGAAAAAGCTGATACGGTTTGCAAGGGTAATTGAGTACCTGAATGCTAACACACGCAACTGGTCATGCAAACTCATTTACAATTTTACTTGACACCCATCTTGCTCTTATAGGTGATGCAAGCAGCGATATTTGTAGTTATGGTTGCCTAGTACTTCCCATTATAGAAGACCCCATCTGGGCTGAAATTTCCAATGCTGGGTGCCTGCCTTAGGTTGAATTTCTTTGGGAAAATTTTCATATAAATGGTTTAGCATTTCTCAGATAAAGTTAAGGAAAAATACATACCTATGCATATGTTAAAATATTCTTACAACTGTTCATCAAGAAGTTCTAGCATTTCCTGCTTTAAAGCAGAAACTTAAAATTTTGTTCTAGTAGCAAACCATTACTTACCACAAACCCAAGAGCTACCAATGGTTCACCTTCATTTAAATGATAAAGAAATGATCCTCCATATGTATGTCTGTCCAAGGGCCAGCCCACAGTGTGTTCTACTCTTCCTGGTTTCCATTTCTTTTCATCAATAAGCCACAACTGGAATAGAGACTACTTTATAATGCAAGTACAGGCTGGACATTTTAATAATGCAATATAAAAACAAAACCCAACTAGAAATGATAGGGACAAGATTGCAAAAACATTACTTTGAATTTTCTACGCTGTGGCATATGATAAAGCTCATACAGCTGAAGACAGAGTAAGGGCAGGAAAATATGCTGAGATGATTTGTAAAGTGGCAATTCAAATACTTTCCTTCCTTAAAACAACTCACATCAGCAAATTCAATGAACAGCATGGTCCTTTGTCCCAGCCCCAGCACCCACCATTAATCACAGAAGAGCCTGCGTTTTGCATCAATTATTTTAATAACTTATGCATGAATGAATGCAAGAAAAGCACAGGCTTACACTAACTATTTATTTATTAAAAGGAAGCAAAAATGTTGGGCTACTTAACAGTGAAAATTCTTCTTAATAACTTCTATACTTGGGAGCTAAAATAAGCTACTATAATCACTTATTTGGAACCTCAAAAGCCAACCTTCTACTAAACTGTACTACTTGAAGTTTTGTAAAAGTTCATATAGTTTCACAGTTTTAAAAAATACAGAAATCTAAAAAATTATTTTGCAGATAATATACATAGTTTGGAGTAGACACTGATGGTTAAAGAACTCAAGTTAATATATGATCAAACTTTGAATATACTTTGTTTAAAATCAACCATTACTTTACCAGTGTAATATATTTGTACTCAGAAAAAACATTAAAAATATTTTCCAAAAATAAAACCCTAACACAATGTCTTAATTATACGCATATTGAATTAACACTGCAGACAATATGTAGCTAGCACAATTTTGACATCTGCTGTATAGGTCAAAGAAAGTTTCTAGCTATCACTTCACTGTAATGCAACAGGGCACCAGCTAGCTTATATTCCAACATGTCACAGAATAGTCACAAGATTGCTAGGGCTTGCAGACAGCTGTGCCTAGACAGTTTTCCAACTTAGGTGTACCTTTATTCTCCCTTAATGAGGGACAGCAAGTACTAGGCTAAAAGTGGACCTTAAAAAGAAATACAATTTAAATCAATTTAAAGAGTGAATTTAGTTTGGAAACAAAACCAGATGGATAGTGAAGTGACCAGCACAGCTTCACAAAAATTAAAGAATACCTGCACTGTAAATGGAAAAAAAGAGGAAGGGCAACCAAACAAGACTACCTAGAATTAGTTACGATGTTCAAAAAAATAAAAATAAAATGGCAGCACAAAAGCAAAGGAGTTAATGTCATATCAGAAGTTAAGGTGAGTAAGAAGGAAAAGTACAATAGGGACTAACCCTGCCTTGGCCAGGAGATGGATGTCACAACTTAAACAGGCCTTTTCACACTCCTTATTGTATAATACTAAAACGATTCAAAAGTTTAAAAACTTAACTCTAAGCTCTTGTCAAAATCCACCACTCGCTACTTAAGTGCGCAATCTAAAGCAAAAACCTCAGTTTTAGAAAGCAGTTTATACACACATTTTAAAACAGTCTAGTTTGCAGCAAGTCTTATACTTCAATCATTTAAGCTTACAAGTACTGTGATAAAACTAAGTACAGATACCTCTTTCAGTCCGATACCATAGCTCTGGGGTTGACATTTCTCCCTTAGATTGTATCTGTTGTACAATTGTTTGGCAAGATGTCCATGACAACCTTCTGCAAAGAACGTGACTTTGGCATGTAGCTCCAAACCTCTTTCAAAGATAGCCTGTAAAGCAGAGCACCTGTAGTCACCATGCTGTTTAGATAACATGGGTGAGGGAAAGGGAGACAGAGGTGCTGTTAAGGCACTTTTGGATCTTCCTGATTCTCCAGAGACTGAAGCAGCTGCTGGGCACTTGTCGATGTTACTGCAGCCTTCCCGGGCTTGCCCAGAAACTGCAGCACGCTGTGGTCCCACCCCTGAAACACTCCTGCCACCCCACCACCATACTCCCCCTGTGCCAGAGTGTGTGTGCAGGGCTGTCTTCCACAGTTTTCATATCAGGACAATGATCCTCTAGCCAAATAGGGGGCTCTTAGAGCACATTTACACTATACAGGCCCTTTTACCCAGCATCAAGAGGCCAGACTGGAGGTCAGGACCTCACCCAGGTAGCTGTGTCACAGATCCACAGAATCAATGCTGTGCCCCCAGTTTTTAAACAGTCTCTTTGAGGAACCCCTTCAATATACCAGACCCTCAGGGGGTCCACTCTTCTCTCAGGGTAGGCTATGCAGCCTCACCATCTCCTGAGACAACCTCTAGGGCTTCAGCCCTCTCACTTCACACTGTGAGCTCTGCTCAGCAAGTCCAACTGAGAGAGACTCCTAGTTAGAGACCTGTATGCTCTTTCAAGGGAATAACACATCTCATCCAATATTTGCAGTGACACTCAAGCTGCAATTTCAAAACTGTGGGGTTTACTAGTCAACTGGAACACAGCACTGGAAGTTAGCACACAGAAATAAAGATTAAAGCACAGTCCATTCTGGTCAGCCCAGTGCAATTCACCAGCCAAGCTTCAGTAAACTCCATTTTCAGGCTCTCTCTCTCTCTGATCACCTTAGTCAGTTCCCAGGTGAGCGTGCCTAGGCTCCTTACAGAAGCCAATTCTTCATTCCTCCATCTCACTCATCTCAGTCTTTTGTTGTTAAGCTGGGGCCTCTGCTTAGCTTCCTTGCTGTGTGACAGAGAAAAATCTCTTCCTTCTATGTCCTTGTTTGCTAGGTGTCCAGATCCTGGTAACAGGGTTTTCCATTGTCTTTTTGGGTTTTCCTCTGATGTGGGTTGGCCTGGGCCAGTCCTTTTTAATGACCCATTCAGTCCGCTCAGCTAGGCAACACTCACCCACACGCCTATAGCTCTTTAGCCTTCCATAAAAGCAAGCTTAATCCTTCCCATCTTTCACTCGGTAGCCAGGCCAAGTATGAAGAAACTGAGGCACAAATAGGATTAATGAAAAAAAATATTACAAAAAATTCCTACTTTGTCACAGCATGTCATTCTGCTGCTGACCTTCCACTGCATGACATTTTGTCCATTGGTTGGATGGAATAGGATTTAGTATAAAACTTGACATCTTCTTAGCATATGCGCAATGTACCTCAGGACCAGGATTCATCACTGAATTTTGTGTGCTAGATGGATCATTAGCTTTCCCAGCCTGGGCCAGGCACTGACAGGGTGTGTGACGTGAACGCTGATCCATGCCCAGCAACATCTTCTTGGATGGATCTTGTGATAGTCGACTATGATGAAGTGTCTCCAGTTCATACACGGGACTTTTAGAGATCAGTACCCTGGGGCTGGGTTCATAAGTGAAAAAGAGATGAAATGATCCAAACAAATTATTGCTCAAATCTGGTACGCTGAAATACACAATGAGATCTTACTAGGACTGGATATTAGCCGGAAAATAAGTCAACCAAAAAAAAGATCTGGTGCAAGATAAGTTTGGATATGTAGAATCCAAAACTAAATATGTTATTTTAGTAGTAATTGCCTTTGTTACCATAAAAGTGGTATTAATATGTTTGTAGATGTATTATATTATGGAAAAACTCAAATATTTTAGAAGGAATTAAATTAGGATTTAAAAAAAATTCTCCCAGGAGGTGGATTAATAGTTTTCTTTCAGCATTTTTGTCAAAAGGATATTATATATATCTCCTACCCGAACTCAAAAAAATGGTATTGAAATTTTTTATTTGACTTAATTTATTACCGTTTTCTCACAGGGCATTGGGGATGGAACTAAAAGTACTATGTTCCTTGTATACTGGCTTAGGGGTAGGTAAGTGCCAGTTTTTGCTGGAACTTTCCCCACTTTCTGCATTTCTGATTGAGAAGCAGAAGGTGAACTGTATTTACAGCATACAGATGACTAAGAATGGACTTGTTACTTTTGTTAATATGACTATGCATGCATATGGTGCAGTTTCACAGAAGCCATGTCCTTGCTAAGATAACGGCAGTTACATAAGTTATTTAATTATGGTTTCTAAGTGTAGACATCCTACATTATCTAGGTTTCAAATTTATAAATTTAAGTAACAAAAAATGTTTTGCAGTTAGCATCCTTCTCCTGCACCTATAAAAGAACAAATGCTTGTTTTATTGTATATTTATGCCATCGCCGTCACATATTTTAGTTAATTTGTACTATGGTTGTGTGTTGAGGCTCCAGTCATGGATCAGGGCCCCATTAGTTAGGCACTGTTCTAAGACAAACAAAAGACATTCCTCGCCTCAAAGAGCTTATAATTTTAGTAAATTTACTGATCAAGGCCCTGATCTTGCAGACACTTGGACATCTTTAACTCCATCCATTGTGAGCTGTACAGCTGACTTCAATGGAACTATTCACCGAGCCTAAAATTAAAGACCTGTGCAAGTGTTCCGACAAAGTGGGTATTCACCCATGAAAGCGTATGCTCCAATATGTCTGTTAGTCTATAAGGTGCCACAGGACTCTTTGCCACCTGCGTAAGTGTTTGTAGAATTGGGACCCTAAACATTAAGGTTAATAAAAATGTTTGTCAAAAGAGAGAGAAATTTCTGAATAAGTGGTGCAGTTTTCTTACAACTCATAGAAGACGTTCTGTTCTTTTCTACAGTTCCTAGGTCTGGGGCTCTTTACATCAGGAAAGAAATCAGGCTTTCAACTACTGCAACAAATGTGAATATTACTGGTACCATCTACTGGTGAAAATATAGAATTGAAAATAATTTTAGCTATTTGGGGTAACAAAGGGAGGTGACAGTTGTTCTGTTTGAATTATTTCAAGACGAGAGTGTAGTAAATATATGATTTCATGGTCAACTATTTTAAACGTAGGAACCTCGGCCTCCTTATTAGCAGGAAAAGCACATTTTGAAAAGTGAACCAAAAAAAAAAAAAAAATACTCCAAAGGAGGAAACACTAAGTGGATACAGACAGCTACCAGACAGGCAGGAGGATTCATCCAGTAAGCACCTTGCCCACAAAAGGCAGATGGGATGGAGTCAGCAAAGTACAACAAAATTGCAAAAAGGGCAGAAGGCAGCAATCAGTCATTAGAACAACAGTGTTTTGTATTTTATGAGTTACCAGTTGGACAGATCTCTCTCCCACTCACCTTCATGACTTCTTCCATTCAGTCGCCTCCTTCCTCCCACTTCATCCTTCCAGACGCCACCTCTGGCCAAACAGACCTCTCCGATTTTCATTCAAATCCCTCCTTAAACAATTCCTCCTTCTCTGAAGACTTTCACTGATAATCCCAGGGACTTTTGGTTTGTTTGTTTGTTTTAAAGGTATAACACCAAGCACAACAATGGCACTAGAATGACATATGTAGCAACTACAGAATTGGACCTTTACCTATTAAAAAGATAAGTACTCACTTTAGGTGCTCCATCCTTTTGAATGCCTACATCATTAGTGGCAATCCCTTTCACACTGCCATCTTCATGAAAAAGAACCTATGGAAATATTCAAACATCATCTATTTTAAAGACCTGTAATTTTAAGCCCATTTCTAAAATTATTTCCAAATGCAGAAAACATGGAGGTTAAAAACCCAAACCTTTTAACTAAGGGCTCAGTCTTGAAAACAATGGGATTAATCATGTGCTTAAATGCTCTGCTGGATTGGAGACAGAGTATTCAGGAATTTGCAGAACTGAGCCCTAATTTTTCAAGCATTTCTGTGTAATATGGGTCTTGCTAAAAACCAGAAAATTAGTCTAAAATCTCTCACACACAAATAGTTATGTTATTACCTCAGCTGCTGCATAGCCTGGATACACCTCAACACCCAAAGCTTCTGCTTGCTCACCCAGCCAATTCACAAAGTGCCCCAGGCGCACTATATAATTCCCATGATTAGTCATTGGAAGGCCTGGGCAAAAGGGAGAAGTACACCACAATCTATTCAGGTTTATGAATTAAAATATATACATATACACACAGGAGATGTACATGCTTAAAATGTAATACTTTTAAAAATACAAAAGTTTGGTTCAATGCAATATACTAGTATCTTTTTGCTATGATTGCTATCTCTATACAGAGATATTGTGTGAGTTTTAATATGTACAATCTACCTACCGTATATACTCAATCATAAGCCGGTTCGTTTATTAGCCTACCCTCCCCCAAGATGGATAAGTAAAAATGGTAAAAACTGTATGACCCTTTCATAAGTCGATCCTATATTTCAGAGGTTGGCAAACTTCGGCTCCCGGACCGTCAGGATAAGCTGCTGGCGGGTCGAGACGTTCTGTTTATCTGGAGCATTCGCAGGCACGGAGCCCCTCAGCCCCCAGTGGCTGCGGTTTGCCATTCCCAGCCAATGGGAGCTGAGGGAAGTGGCGCCACTTCCTGCAGCTCCCATTGGCTGGGAACGGCAAACCGCAGCCGCAGGGAACTGCGGGGCTCCATGCCTGCAGATGCTCCAGGTAAACAAAACGACAATGGATTAGATATTCAATTAAATGATTTCATAGAGTTTTAAATCATCAAATTTTGGTGTAGACCCATTTATAAGCTGTCAAGGTTCCTCCCCCACTCTGAACTCTAGGGTACAGATGTGGGGACCTGCATGAAAACCTCCTAAGCTTACTTTTACCAGCTTAGGTTACAACTTCCCCAAGGTACAAATTAATTTTATCCTTTATCCTTGGAATAACCACTGCCACCACCAAACTCTAACTGGGTTTACTGGGAAATGTAGTTTGGACACTTCTTCCCCCCCCCAAAATCCTCCCAACCCTTGCACCCCACTTCCTGGGAAAGGTTTGGTAAAAATCCTCACCAATTTGCATAGGTGACCACAGACCTAAACCCTTGGATCTGAGAACAATGAAAAAGCATTCAGTTTTCTTACAAGAAGACTTTTAATAGAAATAGAAGTAAACAGGAGTAAAGGAATCACCCCTGTAAAATCAGGATGGTAGGTACCTTACAGGGTAATTAGATTCAAAACATAGAGAATCCCTCTAGGCAAAACCTTAAGTTACAAAAAAGACACACAGACAGAAATAGTTATTCTATTCAGCACAATTCTTTTCTCAGCCATTTAAAGAAATCATAATCTAACGCATACCTAGCTAGATTACTTACTAAAAGTTTTAAGACTCCATTCCTGTTCTATCCCCAGCAAAGCAGCATACCAACAGACACAGACCCTTTGTTTCTCTCCCTCCTCCCAGCTTTTGAAAGTATCTTGTCTCCTCATTGGTCATTTTGGTCAGGTGCCAGCGAGGTTACCTTTAGCTTCTTAACCCTTTACAGGTGAGAGGATTTTTCCTCTGGCCAGGAAGGATTTTAAAGGGGTTTACCCTTCCCTTTATATTTATGACATAAGCCGACCCCCGCTCTTTGATGCGTCACCTTTTTACCAAAAATATTTGGCTTATGAATGAGTATGTACAGTACTTATATTCCCATCATTATAGTTTGTGTACAAAGTTGCTAAAAAGCAGCTGATGCAGTATTGCTTGCCTCGCAACATATACCACAGTTTCTTCTTGAAAATATAACATAGCCCCGATGAGCTTTTTATAACTATATTAAACCTTAGGCCTGTTTTTTCAGTAAGTGTTTTAGCTTTTCAACAAGCTGTACCTGGAAGAATTGGCACTGGAATTCTGGAATTCTTTGTTAAAATCCCAAATTTGTCTTCAGTTACTGGAGTCTGAAGTGGAGCCTAAAAATAAGAAAAGTCATCACTGAACACTATTTTTGCTACTTGTCAAGAAGCAGACATTTTCTCTCCCTCCCAAGGAGCTAATTAAAGAACTAGTGTAGTATGACGCAAAGACATAATGGTCTTGTGAGAAAATTTCATGACAGAGAGGTAAAGCACAGAGTCTCAGGCAGAATAATATTCAGGTAAAAAGTCAACAAAATTAATACTCCTCAACTATTGGAATTTGCTTTTGGCATTGGGCTTCCCTCCCCGCAAACAAACAGTTCCTTTCTTATCCAATAATTTTTTACACAACAAACAAAGGAAAAAACTGTGCAATGAAAGATGATATTTATAAATCATCTTATTTAGAAATAATATACAGAGGTGCAGCATGGAGCTTGATACAAAGTTTGTTTCAAGTTAGAGATGAATCATGATTAAGCATTCATACCCCTCGCTCCTTCCAGTCCGGTAAGAGTTCTTCCAAAGCTCGTGGCTCAAGACAAGCACCAGAAAGTGTATGTGCACCGATCTGAGCAGCTTTCTCCACCAAGCAAACACGAACTTCTTTGCCATACTCATTGGCTAACTGTTTAAGTCGAATAGCTGCAGAAAGACCCGCAGGGCCTGCTCCAACTATAACAACATCAGCTTCTTCTGCAAATCTTTCCATGTTCACCCCTTTAATAGAGCAAAGTATGATATAGCAATTTTGTCCAATAATACAGCTCTCTCGCCATTCTCTTCCCCTCTCTCTCTAAAGTTTATTGTTTTGCTTTGTCATATCAGCCACCAAGTATCAAAATACTGTCACCTTGAACTAAGGTGGGGCTAATATTCAACAGGTTTGAACATAATGTACATGAGCAGCATTTTAATTGTGCTTTTGCCTAACGTTTGGAATATAAAACTAAGCTTTTGCTAATAAAGAGGGACACAGAAAGAACTTTAGATTCTAATCTCCAGTGCTCATGCCATCCTAGAATGCTTAAAATAAGGGCCCAGATCTACGCTCACTTCTTAGGTGTGCTTGGTACAGCTCAGGAGAAAAGAGGGGGGAGAAGTGCCATTAAGCAACCTTTAACAGTCCTTCTTCCCCCTGATGCTGGGAATGCTGGTCCAGTCCCAGGTATCTGCTGCTTTGCTCTAACAGTCAGGGGTCCCCATGCGCTGTTCTGGCAACAGGGATTGTTGTGACATAAAGAGGACCCAGTCACACCCACTTTCTCCAAGGAGCTGCTAAGGTTAGTGAATTTATAGATTAAGATAGTATAAATAAATATCTTATTTGCCCTATTTCATCATGATCAACTCATAAGACCACATTACAAAAGCAGAAAAATACATAGCCTGACTGCAATAAGGTCATAAGATAAATAAGACAGATGTTAACTTTTTGGTTTGTATGTCTATAGCTACAAGATCGATTTACACATTTGCATCCTGAAGTCTCATACTTTCTTAGTTTAATTAGGAGCAAACTAAATATGATCAGTTCTGCTGCACTAAAGCTGACCATCGTAAGCAAGCAACCATAAAATGTTATCTGAATCTTTAGTATTGCACTTAACAACATCTCTGTAAAATAACTATGCTGTAACGTTTAAAAATGCCTGCAATTAATATAGACAAATCGTTTTCTTAACATGCAATTTTTCATTTACCTTCCCATCGTTTGTCTTTGTTCCGAGAATGAATAGTATAGTGTGTAGTGATTCGAGGCACAGAGGAAGTAGAAGCCCATCTTGCAATACACAAAGGCGGTAGAATGTCTTTCTTTACTGACTTTAAAGCACGCAAACAATGATGTGCTGTAAAAAAAAGGACAACTAGATTTGCTGAATCATGTAACTGTTGACATAGATAATAGTTAACAAAGGCTTGAACCCATGTTTGTTTGTTTTTTTTAAATCTTGAGGCTACTCAGTACAGAAAAATCCTAAACAAATTAATAAATCATGACCCTACTCTATGTTTCAGGATTAAAGATAGGAAGTTGACTGCAGTAGGTATCATTCCACCTGATAGTACATGATACATTTTGCACCATCATACTCCCATTATCAGGAAATAGTAATAGGAAAACAGTGCCCACAACATGGAAAAAAGAGTTCTTAACATTACTTTTTAAGGCTATATCTACATTGCACTTTTGTTGGTAAAACTTTTGTTGATCAGGGGTGTGAAAAAAAACACATACCCCCAACCAACAAAAGTTTTACCAACAAAAAGAGCCAATGTGGACAGCGCTTTGTCAGTGGGAGATGCTCTCCTGCCGACAAAGCTACCACCGCTCCTTAGTGGTGGTTTTATTTTGCCAGCAGGAAAGTGCTCTCCTGCCAGCAATGAGCGGCTACACGAGAGATCTTACAGCATCACAGCTGTGATGCTGTAAGGTACACAGTGTAGACGTAACCTTAATTTCAGCTGTTAAATTTGGGATATTTACCCTTCTAGCATCTCAAGTATTTATTTCCTGTTTTGCTGGGGTTTTCTCCTATTTTCTCGTTCCTGTGTTCCTTGCACAGAGTTCGCCTGTAGTTTTATAACAGGCTTAATTTCCTCTACTTGTTTCTACGGTTAGTAATTTTAGAGAAAAGTAATTAAGTAGAGAGGGAAGAAACTTCTATGGCTGCCATATATGGCAGGCTTGAGGGATCAGAAAGATGAATTTCATATTAACATAGAGTCTTTGTTCATATTTTAGAGCATCCACCATCATAATATATTCATTCTGTAATATGAATGACCTCGCCGTCGGCGGAACCCTATTTGAACATCGTAAAATTCACAAGCTGACATGGTGTTCTCCAAATGGCAGAGATAAGAACCAGATTGACCATATCATGATCAGTGGCAAATGGTGACGCTCACTGACAGATGTGAAAGTGAGAAGGGGTGCAGATGTTAGCAGCGACCACCACCTTGTGACAGCCTCCATCAAGCTAAAACTGAGAAGTGTGGGTCCACCAAACAAGGGACATAGACGTTATGATATTGACAAGCTAAAGTCCCTTGCAATACAGAAAGCCTTCGTTCTGCAGTGAAAGAACAGGTTTCAAGCACTTGCAGACCTTGATGAAGAGGGGGAGAATGCAGATGAGGAGATCAACAAGAAGTGGGACAAAGTAACAGCAATTTATAAACAGAACAGTGAAGCCTGTCTAGGCTACAGGAAGAAGAGAAGGAAGGATTGGATTATACCCAACACACGGAATGCCACAGAAACCAGACGAGTCCTGAAGAAAAAAGTTTTAGACACAAAATCCCAGAAGCTAAAGGACAAATACCACGAGCAGAATAGCAAGGGTCAAATGCTTTGTGAGAGCAGACAAACGGCATTGATAATCTGGCAACACAAGCAGAGGATGCAGCTGCTTGTGATGAACCAGGAACCGTCTACAAAATGACACAGCTTATCTGTGGTAAATGGCAGACACAAACAAGCACTCATCAAGAACAAACAAGGACACCTACTAACAACCGAAAAAGAACAAGAAATGCGCTGGACAGAGCATTTCAAAGAATTGCTGAACAGGGAGCCACCTAAAGAGGAAGCAAACATCCAGGAGGCAGAAGAAGATCTTGATATCAACACAGACAGCCCAACTAAGGAAGAGATCATTCAAGCCATCAAATCTTTAAAAATAATGAGAAAGCTCCTGGCAAGGATAACCTGAATGCAGAATTGTTCAAGGTAAATCCTAAATTAGCAGTATCAATCCTGACCCCTCTGTTTACATCAATCTGGAAGAGCGAAACAGTGCCAGATGAGTGGACCAATGGGATTATAGTGAAGATACCAAAGAAAGGAACTCTCAGTGATTGTAATAACTGGCGTGGTATAACACTTGTATCTGTGCCAAACAAAGTATTGTGTAAGATCATAGTCCAGCGTATATCAGAGGCAGTTGATAGTGTTCTCAGAAAAGAGCAAGCTGGTTTTCGGAAAGGGCATGGATGCATAGACCGATCTTCACTCTATGAAACATAATCGAACAGTGCTTAGAATGGCAACGGCAACTCTACATAAATTTCATAGACTTTGAGAAGGCTTTTGATAGCATTCACAGGACTAGCCTATGATGCATTCTGCAGGCATATGGAATTCCTTTCCGTATAATTGTCATCAAAAGCTTCTGTTTCAACTTTACATGCAGTGTTGATCACAGTGAGCTCAGTTTTGAAATCAAAACAGGAGGATGTCAGGGGTGTGTCATGTCTGCAATCCTCTTCAATATTGCCATCCACTGGGTAATGTGGGGAACAACAGAAGACATGCCAAGAGGCATTAAATGGACACTTCTCATCCCTTGAAGAACTGGACTTCACAGATGAGGTCACTATCCTATCACATACCCAACACAATATACAAGAAAAAACAATTTGACTCAACGCATTCAGCCAACAAATTGAACTGACAATCAATCGCAATAAGACAGAAATCATGACCTTTAATACTGCCTCATCATCACCAGTATGGATAGATGATCATGTTCTCACCAATGTGGAAACATTCACATACTCGGGCAGCACCATCAGCCAGGACAGTGGAACAAGCCAGGACATCTGGAACAAAATTAATAAAGCCAGGAACACCTTCAGGAGCTTAAATACAGTCTCAGAGTAGCAGCCGTGTTAGTCTGTATCTGCAAAAAGAAAAGGAGGACTCGTGGCACCTTAGAGACCACACCACACGATCCATTGTCTACAGCCAAGCTCTACAATACAACCGCATTTGCTCCAACCCCTCAGACAGAGACAAACACCTACAAGATCTCTATCAAGCATTCTTACAACTACAATACCCACCTGCGGAAGTGAAGAAGCGGACTGACAGAGCCAGAAGAGTACCCAGAAGTCACCTACTACAGGACAGGCCCAACAAAGAAAAGAACAGAACGCCACTCGCCATCACCTTCAACCCCCAACTAAAACCTCTCCAATGCATCATCAAGGATCTACAACCTATCCTGAAGGACAACCCATCACTCTCACAGATCTTGGGAGACAGGCCAGTCCTTGATTACAGACAGCCCCCCAACCTGAAGCAAATACTCATCAGCAACCACACACCACTCAACAAAAACACTAACCCAGGAACCTATCCTTGCAACAAAGCCCATTGCCAACTGCGTCCACATAGCTATTCAGGGGACACCATCATAGGGCCTAATCACATCAGCCACACTATCAGAGGCTTGTTCACCTGCACATCTACAAATGTGATATATGCCATCATGTGACAGCAATGCCCCTTTGCCATGTTCATTGGCCAAACTGGACAGTCTCTACGTAAAAGAATAAATGGGAAACAAGTCAGACATCAAGAATTATAACATTCAGAAACCAGTTGGAGAACACTTCAATCTCTTTGGTCACTCGATTACAGACCTAAAAGTTGCAATTCTTCAACAAAAAACCTTCAGAAACAGACTCCAACAAGAGACTGCTGAATTGGAATTAATTTGCCAACTGGATACAATTAACTTAGGCTTGAATAAAGACTGGGAGTGGATGGGTCATTACACAAAGTAAAACTATTTCCCCATGTTTATTCCGCCTCCTCCCCCCGCTGTTCCTGTCAACTGCTGGAAATGGCCCACCTTGATTATCACTACAAAAGGTTCCTCTCCCCACCCCCCCTCTCCTGCTGGCAATAGCTCACCTTAAGTGATCACTTTCATTACAGTGTGTATGGTAACACCCATTGTTTCATGTTCTCTGTGTATATAAATCTCCCCATTGTATTTTCCACTGAACGCATCCGATGAAGTGAGCTGTAGCTCACAAAAGCTTATGCTCAAATAAATTTGTTAGTCTCTAAGGTGCCACAAGTCCTCCTTTTCTTTTTGTAAATACAGTCTGGAAAGCATCAAAATACAAAACCAAAACCAAACTAAAGATTTATCAGAGCTGTGTACTTTCAACACTACTTTATAGTGCAGAATGCTGGGGAATGAGAAAGTATGACATGTCCAAACTCTCTTCATTCCATACAACCTGCCTCAGAAAAATCCTCCATATCTTTTGGCCTAGAACAATCTCAAACCAAGATCTATTGGCACAGTGCAGCCAAGAGGATCGGAGCACCATCATTGCCAGGAGACGCTGGAGATAGATTGGTCATGTGCTTCGGATGGAAACTGATATCACCAGAGTAGCAATCAGATGGACACCTAAAGGCAAGAGAAAATGAGGCTGCCTGAAAACAACATGGCGAAGAGCTGTGGAAGCTGAGCTGAAAAACCTGTGGCACGGCTAGGGAACCACTGAAAGACTTGCCAGAAACAGACAGGAGTGGAGGAAACGCCAGAGGCGTAATAGGAACATGATGAGTATGACGACCATCATAATATATGAGCATCAAAATCAGGATTTATTCTTGCATATAGGACTCCATAATGGACCCTGCTTCTGCCATCCCCAATTTTGGTCACTAAAGTTGGATTTTTAAAAACGTACAGTATACAGATGTGACCAGTTTTGCTGTAGCTCAGACACTAAAACATAACCCAGTAGAATAATAAAGAAATATAAGTTCAAATAATAGAAAAATAACCATAACATTTCAATGTCAACTAGCCTATTGTGTAAGGACAAACAATATTAGTTGCTTAATCCTTAAAAGGAAAAAGAAAGTTGAGCTAAGTTAGAACTCAAGAAAGTCTTAACTCTGAAAAACTAGTCAAAGTACAGGGATGGGCTAGGCAACTTTCCCCACATTGCTCCATAAACTCAAAGTATAACTAATCGAACATTCTGGCTAGTCTTCTCCTAGGCCTTTCTTCACCAGAACTTTCAACTGTCTTTGTGCAGTTTTGTGAGACCAGAGAACCTGAGTCGCTCAGAAAAGGCTAGGATTGATTGTTTCTATTTTTAAAAAGGCAGTTTTTAGTTTACTACTACTAATAGAGAGATTGGTATAACTACCAATCTTTGAAACCAGATCTTTATTCATTAGGAAGTTATCTAGTCTGTTTATTCTTTACTTGAAGTTGTGATCTGTACTTAACAGGCAGCTGTTCAATCATAAAAACAAAATTATGACTTCATATGAGCAATAGGCAGTCAGACTACATGAACTCCTAAGTAATCACATACTATTTTCATGCCAATATCCCTTGTAATAAAGCCACCAACCCAGAATACATGATACAGCAGCAGAACTTTTTCCGAAGTTTTCCATTTTCCAGAGTTATGAATAGCACTGAAAGCATGATCATGTATACAGATGGTGACACAGACCATGTCAAAGTGAAGAAGCCTAAAATATAACCTTTTATCAGTTTTCAAAATGCATAGAATTCCTTTTGTGTTCTTTTTAGTCCAAACAAATGCTTTGGTGATCTTCATCTCTGTGATTAAAACAGTCCTCACAGACCCCACAATCAAAAAGTCCTAGAGCTAACAATAGAATGCACATACAAAAGAAAAACATATTGTACGGAAACATTTCAATTTCAAAGTTCCAAAGACTTACAGTAAACATCAACATACAAACAAAAAAGGGTTACAAAAATTTAAAATACCTTCAATCTGTATTTAAGTTTGTTTCATACTGTACCTGAACATACATTAGTGAACGCTAGATGGGCAGCTAGTCCTTGGCTGTAGGCCTCAACAAAACTTCATGATCAACAGTAAAAATTTAGATTGGTTAAAGCAGTGTTTCCCAAACTTGGGATGCCGCTAGTTCAGGGAAAGCCCGTGGCAGGCCGGGCCAGTTTGTTTACCTGCTGCGTCCGCAGGTTTGGCCAATCGCAGCTCTGGCCTGGCAGGTAAACAAACCAGCCGGGCCTGCAAGGGGCTTTCCCTGAACAAGTGGCGTCCCAAGTTTGGGAAACACTGGGATAAACTATACTTTGTTTCAAAGGTAAGGTTTACACATACAGTAAACCCTCAACTGTGCTTTCTAAACATTACTGCAAGCACAACAAAATCCTGATGGTGGTCAGAAGCAAATGCCCCCAGTATAAGTTTTCAATACTTAAAAAAAAGACCTTATTCAGAGAGACTATTATATCACATACTTATTATAAAGATAATATCCCCTTTTCACAAGTAATAACGTGGAGTATAGCCTGAGGACTATTTTCCCTACATCACTATGCAGAGGAATTGGTAAATGTAATATGAATGAATAAATATAGGAGAGTGCAAAAGTGAAAGAATAGTACCTTGTCCTGGTTCAAAAGATTCAGAATATTAAAAGTTGATTTACCTGGTATTATTCTAAATGAAATAAATAAATAAATCAAGCATTGGGTCATTTTGAACATAATGGAAATAAAAGGAATTCTGGACCCAATCTTGTTATGTGTCATGAAGCCAATGGCACATAACAGGCCAATGCCTGTGAGGACTCCAGGATCAGGTCAAGTTAGTTCCTTTCAGGCTAAATGCACAAGAGGGGACTTGAAATACTCAAAGTGTACTAGTTTAACTACCCAGATTCATGTAACCATTCAACATCTTGGGAGCTGGAGGGGGATATGAGGAAGAAAGGAGTTGGAGATTGGAGGGGATAGAGAAAGGAGGAAGATTTGCTTGTTACACCATGAAAAACTGCTATCTTAATAGTTTAAATCAGGCTGAACTTGGATTAGATTTTTACATCTAGAAATGCCCTAGAATTTCAGACCCTATCTTATGGTCCCATATCTTCATATAAATATTGTGACGAGTTGGATCACAGAAACCCCCTTGGGACTGCCAACTAATGTGCTTTGACTACCTCTCAGTCTGTTTTCCCTGCCAGCTTAGGACTTCAGTGCCCTGCCTGGTTTGAGCCAGACACGCTTGCCTGATGGTCTGAACCATGCCCCCCAACAGCTGCAGGCTTAACTGAAAACAGCTTAAGAAGCGTTCCTGTCTCCAACACTCAGATGCCCAACTCCCAATGGGGTCCAAAATCCCAAATAAATCCATTTTACCCTGTATAAAGCTTACACAGGGTAAACTCACAAATTGTTCGTCCTCTAGAACACTGATAGAGAGATATGCACAGCTGTTTGCCCCCCTCCCCAGGTATTAATGCATACTCTAGGTTAATTAATAAGTAAAAAGTGATTTTATTAAGTACAAAAAGTAGGATTTAAGTAGTTCCAAATAATAACAGACAGAACAAAGTGAATTACCAAGCAAAATAAAATAAAACATGCAAGTCTAAGTTTAACAGTAAGAAAACTAAATACAGACAAAATCTCACCCTCAGAGATGTTTCAATAAGTTTCTATCACAGACTGGCCGCCTTCTTAGTCTGGGCACAATTCTTTCCCCTGGTACAGCCCTTGTTCCAGCTCAGGTGGTAGCTAGGGGATTTCTCATGATTGCAGCCCTCTTTTGTTCTGTTCCACCCACTTATATATCTTTTGCATAAGGCAGGAATCCTTTGTCCTTCTCTGGGTTCCTACCCCTCCTTCTCAATGGAAAAGCACCAGGTTAAAGATGGATTCCAGTTCAGGTGACATAATCACATGTCACTGTAAGACTTCAAGCCCTCATTCCTCCCAGCCTGACTCACAGGAAGGCCTGCAAGCAAACAGAGCCACCCACAGTCAATTGTCCTGGTTGATGGGAGCCATCAAGATCCCAAACCACCAATAATGGCCCACACTTTGCATAACTACAATAGAACCTCAGAGTTATATTTCACATTTCTAGTTTCAGATACAAGAGTGATACATTTATACAAATAGGATGACCACACTCAGTAAATTATAAGTTTTATAATGATACCTTACAAGAGACCTTTTGCATGAAGCAAATTCCAGTTACATTATATTCAGTCATTAGCATATTTTCATAAAATCATTTTGAGTGAAACATCACAAATATATATTAATTTTTAAAGTGTCACAGCTCATAAGCCATCTGAACTAGAAATACCTGTGTCATACCACCACAAACTAAGAATCCTCTCTCCCTCCCTCCACCCCCTAATCCCTCAGCCTGACTTTACAAGTGAAGAGAGACCTTAAATAAGTATCACTTGTTTCCTAAAATGCTTTGAACATTTATCAAATATTTCTTCAAAGTAGCAGGAGCACGATATCCAAGATAGAGAGGAACAATTTTTGTCTTGGCACTTGAGAATAATACACCCAACCAAAAGGCAAACCAATATAACCTTTATATCACCACAGGGTGTAATCTCTTGGAACAGTGTAATGCACATGGACTACAAGTATTATTTATGTAGCTTAAGTCATACTAACTTAAATAGACAATCCAGATGTCACACTTAACTGCAATAGATTTAGGAGTAAGAGTCTCAAGCAGTATTTACTTTAAAACAGAGAACCTTACAGTTAGTAATGTATTGCAGAATAGAACATATTTCATAACCACAGAAACAACTGCAGGTACATTCCTTAAAACATGCAACCTTCATTTACCATTTGAGAGCGCTATGATAAGATTCCTTCTTGACTAAAGTTATATGAAACTAAGATATGCATTTGTTAATTATCTTTTAGGTCCCAATCCTGCACTGGCAAATGAGCAGGCAGACTCATCTGACCTTCCTGTATAGAAGTCACTGCAGGATTGGGGCCTCAGTGACTTGGTACTTCACTCATAACACCCATAAGTCTGAACTTTTTGCAAACATTTTTTTAAAAGGAAAGGAACTTGTATCCATATGAAACTCTTTGCTAACTGCTAACAAGGGGATTATTTCCATGTTCATTATTTAAATGATGGAACAAAGATGGAAAAGTAACTGTTATTTTCTCCTATTATCCATGCATTACAACACTGGGAAATCACCACCTAAAAAAAGAAAAAAAAATTTATACACTGTACATGGTACTTTACAGCAGATAACACACCAATAAAACAGATACATATATGGGTCAAGTCCTGCACACAATTATGCATGCAATTTTATTCATGTGAGGAAAGTTATATGAATTAATGTTCCCCAGATTGGACTCTCATATACAAACAGTTACTAGTGTGTTTTATCTGATGTAAAGTGCTCACATGTGTATGTGGCTGTAGGATCAAACTACAAAATTAAGATCTGACTTTGCAAGACCCTGATCCTGCAAGAGTTCCACATGGGTGGACACGTACAGCACTGCAATGACTTCCACAGGGAGAAATTGTGAACTGAATACACAGTCAAATGAGGTAAATGAACTAACAACAATGGTTATTCTGGCCAGTACTGTGGGGTCAGTGTCCTTTCCGTTCTAACCACGTTAAATCACTACCTCGCACATCAAGCACAAGCAAGGGGCATCACAACACTGCTGATTCGTGTTCAAATATATCTGTTTTGTAAGAGTCACAAGGCAATGACCTTTGGTCCAGTTTTGTGTCTCGCTGTAAAGACAAGGGGAGGGGCAGCCGTGTGTGATGGGCACGGCCCACAATCATACTTGCTACTGGACAGGCCCCCTAGCTTTAATTTCATAGAATATCAGGGTTGGAAGGGACCTCAGGAGGTCATCTAGTCCAACCCCCTGCTCAAAGCAGGGCCAATCCCCAATTTTTGCCCCAGTTCCCTAAATGGCCCCCTCACGGATTGAACTCACAACCCTGGGTTTAGCAGGCCAATGCTCAAACCACTGAGCTATCCTCGCCACTTTCACTCCCCTGTCCTACCCCCATTGCTATTCCCGCACACATGGGGGGGGCGCACAGCCCCCCTTCCCACGAGCAAGGAATCGTGGTAGCACGTTAACAGGGCAGAAGAGGAAACTCCTTGGGGAGCGGGTGATTTTCAGGCACCACCCGAGAGTCAGCCTGCAGCCCACTAGCCCCGCGGACCAGCAAGGTGCCCACGAGCGACGCCCCACGTTACCTTGGCTGGAGAGCGTGCAGAGCGGCAGCGGCATGGTGCCTGCCTGGGCGCCCCCCGGGGACGGGGCAGCCTCCCCTCAGGGCCGGGAACAGGGGGCGAACGCTGCCGCTGCCCGCTACGCACAACCCGCCCCCCAAAGCGCCCGGGGGTCCCCGCTCTGCCTTCCCCGAGCGCCCGGGCTCTGGAGCTGCGGGTCAGCCTGCCGCCGCGAGCCCACGCACAGCCCCGGCCAATGGCATTCACCCCGCACAGCGCGCACCCGCAGCTCTCGCCACCGCGTCCCCGCCCCACTGCGCCTGCGCGCCAGGCTACCTGCCGGGAGACGGAGTTCCCGCCCCACGGAGGAGGGATTACTACAGCTCCCAGAATGCCCTGCGGAAGGAGAGGCGCTGGCCCGCCCTACAGGCAGGGCGATGTTCCCCGCTAGGGAAGGGTGCAGCACGGCGCATGCGCTAGCCCAGCGTGGCCGGAGAAAAGGAATTTCTTTATTGTCCCATAATTAAACAAAACTCCCGGGACGCGAGAAGGCGGGGCTGTATAATGGCATCCATGGCCGCCATAGCTAACGCCCTGGCGGATGCAGGCCGGAGCCGGGGAGGACGCCTGATACCGGCATGCATTGCGGCAGGAGAAAACTATCCCTCCCAGCATGCAGTGCGCCTATCAATGGTCTAATCCGTGTTCTCTTGCAGGTCCCGCGCTGCATGCTGGGAGTAGTAGTTCAAGTGGAGCTGCACTGCATATGGGGATAGTTGCGGACCACATTACCGAGCCCCTCCCTGCCCCGGCCAGCAGAACGGAAGTTGGGGTGGTGTATGCGGAGGGGGAGGGGATACGCTCTCACGGATCACCGGCCCTACTATGGGGGGCGGGGTCGCCGAAGGCTCCTGCTCCGCCCCTCGGGTAGGGGGCGGGGCGAGTGAGTTTCGCGCGCGCCGCAAAACCGGTTGATTTCGGGGGATCGTTTTGCGGCCGTGCGGAGCCGAGGCAGGGAGCATGGCTGAGGCGGGGCCGGCGCAGCCCGTTTCCCCCGTCGCGCCCCTCGGGGTCTCCCCCGGCGCCGGGCCCAGGAGAAGCCGGAGCGGCGGCGGCGGCAGCGGGGCGCGGCCGCTGGAGCAGCTCAGTGACCCGCGGGAGCTGCTGGAGGAGGTGGAGATGCAGATCGATGACGTGAGTCTCCGCCGCGCAGGTCGGAGCCGGCCCCGCTGTGCCCAGCGCCAGGCACGCTGCCCCGGGTCCAGTGTCACCCCTTTCCCAGCCCCATGAGCTAAACCCTGTTAAACCGGAATGTGAGTGTTCGGGGGGAAGGGGGGAAATCAGACCTCTGCTCGTACCTGTGTAGACGAGGACTGATTCAAGACCTGTCTGTCGCCCTGCCTTGGTCAGAGCACGGGGAAGCCACCAGCCCGGGACCTGGCCATCCAGGAACGTGAGGCAGACCTCGGAATGGCTGCGCCCCCCTCCCGGTATCTCTGAACACCCCGTGTGCGTTTGGTGCCAAAACTATAATGGGGTTCAAGAAAGAATTGGATAATTTCATGGAGGACAGGTCCACAAGTAGCTAAGATCGTCTGGGATGCCACTCTATGCTTGGAGTGTCCCTAGCCTCTGATTGCTCAAAGCCGGGAGCGGGCAATGGGATGGATCACGCAGTGGTTGCCTGTTCTGTTCACTCCCTCTGAAGCAGCTGGCATTGGCCATGCTTGGAAAACAGGACACTGGGCTAGATGGACCATTGGTCTAACCCAGCATGGTGGTTCTTATGTTCTTGCTGCAGGCCGCATTCTCGCTAACAAAGATCCTGGAGGCAACATCTGCTGTGTCAGCCCAGGTAGAGGAGCTTGCGACCAAATGTTCAGAAAATGCCCGATTCCTTAAAACGTGGCGGGATCTTCTGAAGGAAGGATATGAATCTCTGAAACCCAGTGACTGACTCTGTGCAAACACACACAGGAGGAAAGCTCAAGAGGGTACCTGCATGAGCTGAAGCTGAATCATCCCACAGCATTTCCACTTTGTTACCCTTATCTTGCAATGCCAGGACTTGGCTCTCGGCCATACTGGGTTAAGGAATGTCTGTATAAATGAAGACGTAAACAACTTTTTTGTGCTTTTATTTTTTATAATATCTTAACGGGGCTTTCATCAACTGCCCCCCTTCAAGGAAATGTTTTGTTCTGTGCACAAGCTGTTTCTGTGGATAAAATGTTGATACTGCTGCATGCATGAACATCATTCAGAATCTGTTGATAATAGCATAGACTGTTTTAGTTTGGCTTGGGAAGAGGGACCAAGTCTGGATTTTTAAACTGTTGGTTTCCTTGCAGTTCTATTGATTAGCAAGTACATATGAAATGTACTAAATAAAATTTTCATTAGAGTAATGTTACACTTGTATTCAGATACCACACATAGTGAGATATCTGATACCTCTCTAATTGACCACCGTGGTTCTGTAAATCAAGAATTCCCCAAGTGTAATCACTTGCAGACAGCTATAGTTTTGTTAACCCCCATCGCCTTCAGGAATGTATATAAGCTTGTCATTTCCAAAATAAGTCTCTTTAAAATCTTGTTAATCAAACGAGACTACTTGTGAAACTTTCTGCCTTCACTTATACCTATACAAACTCCATTCTTATTCTGCCATTTAACAGGTATTAATATAGATATAAATGAGTCTAGAACTTGGTCTCTCGTTTTTAAGACTGTAGCCCAGCTCCCTCCCTACACTGAGAATCATCTTAGCCAGTTTTTCAATACTTTTCTCCATAGTTGCATTTTTACAGATTATTTGATCACTGCAAACCCTTCTACACCTGATATTTTTATGTATTTTGGTTACTAAACTATATCTAAAGTGCCTTATTGTATGTTTAGATCATATTTTTCTTCCGATAGAAACTCAGCTGTATTGTGTATTAAAAGGTTGGGTTGCTATTTGAAGTATATATTTCAGTTTCAGTAGTATCTGTGCTAATTCTCCGTTTTCTGTAATCTTTGAAATAATATGCTGTATCAGAACTTGTTCTGCATTTCCTCCCATTTAACGAACTAGTAGGTTTCTGATTCAAACCCTATAATCTGGCATACCATTGTAAACAAGGATCGACTATCTAAAAGATTTCTAATTTGTGGTAAATATCTGGATCATAGCTACTGTACCCAGAAACATATGAAAAAATCAGCACTGAAATGAGTTGGGAAGCTATAGAAAAATGTAGTGGTGTGCCATGACTGAGTAGTCATTGATCCCTATTTCTTGGTGTCCCGTCCCCCACCCAAGAAAATCTAATTATTTATTTCTTTTACCTAAAAAATAAAAGACATTAGAACAAATATTGAACAGCTAATTATGGCAGCTTCTTTCTTCCTTCCTCCCATCTGTCAAAGTGTAGAGAAGGCTGTAAGTAGTACAGGTGCTCTTACTGTTTCTTGATTATTTAGCTAATCAACTTGATGCTCTCAAAGTGGAGTAAAGGAGAGTTTAATGTTGCAGACATTCTGCATTATCCAGAGTATCAAGTGAGGATACAAAATGAAATATGGTGTGTTTACTATTTTCATCAAGGGGAAAACAATCAGTTTGATCAGCAGGTAAATCTTTATTCCAAATAAATCAATATATACAGTAGCGGAAACATGATACTCATCTGTTCTGTATTTGATTCTAACATATTTCAAAGTTTTGTAAACAGTAAAGTGTGAGTCACACTATATTTTCCTTCTTGTATCTTTTAGGAAGTTGAGTGCAAACATTAAAAACATCTTTTTGCTTTTTTAAAAAAAACTTCAAAGTGTAAATGCAGAAGAGCATTTCCTCCAGCTGTGTTATCTTGGGAACTCAGCTGGCCACAAGCCAGTTACTGAAAGTTTCCTTATCCAGTATCCCTTTCTTTCATAATATCAAAGTGTCTTTAAAAAAAAAAAAATCTGATACACACATATGGAGAATCTGCCTGATTGCTTCAGTTGGGACCCCCCAAAACTTAGCTCAACGTTGTACCATTTTTAAGTATTCATAAATCTGAATCATTTTAATTGGTGTCCAGTGCCCCATGCCTGACCTATGAGTAACTCTTCAGAAAAATACTGCAACTGACTAAAGTTTAGGAAGTTGCATAGCCATTCAGAGTTAACTTTTATATTTTTAGCAATCTGGTCATCTAACAATAGACTGCATACGAATTACATTTTAGAATTTAGAAAGGTACAAAGTAACAGTTTTAACCTTTTTGACTTTATCTGCCCAGCCCCAAAATGAAAGTAAAAATTGGACTGATAGTGGAATTTTATTCGCATACATATTTTTTTCCTATGGCTACTACTTCCTAAGGCTCTTCAAAAATGTATGTACTGTTAAGTTCACTCTCTGTTGTCTTTTTCTGATTAGACTTCTTGGCCATCACTGATGTGAATCTGTGTTACATCTTTTTCCTTACTGCTATAAAACAGTGAGTCCACATCAGAGATGGCTGTGCAAATTTTACTGTGACTATTCAAAACATTTATCTGTATGAATTCAGTCTTGTGGAATGTGTGGTTGCTGATGTTTCAGAGGAGTCTGTATAAATAGCAGGCTTTGTTAACTCTGGTGTAATCTCTTGCATTGGCCACATCTCTACCCAGATAAATGATGGGCCATATGTTTTCTGGTTGCTTTTGCTTCCTATGGATCTTCCTTGTTTGTAATTATACCAAGCCTGCTGAATCATTTCTTTGAAAGGTCGTGTGGTCAGAGTGTAGAGGAGAGGATTCAAAGCACTATTTATAGGCAGTATAAAAATCACCACCCAGGAAGTTATAGTACCTTGAGGAGGAAAAAAGAAATTTAAATATTCAAAAGTGTATGTACTCAATAACATTGTATTAGTATATGGTACTTTGTGCTAAAAGCAGTGTACAAATATTAACTGATATCTTCACAGTGGCCCTTAAGGTAGGTGGGTACTATACCATTTTACAGTTAGGGAATCAGAGGCAGAGAGTCGAAGGGACTTGTCCAAGCTCACCCAGCATGCCAGTGGCAGAGCTGGGGTTTGATTTCCTGACTCAGCTTTGTGCTCATTCCTTCAAACTACACTCTGTCTACTTCTAACAATACTTTCTTTTAGAATTACATTTTCTTAGGTAGAGGAGACTTGCACTTCTTAAAAAATGCATTTTCAGAGTAAGTTTCCTTTTCCTACGGGGACATTTGCTATACACATTTTTTGGTCAGACATTTGATATTTGACTCTACCCCTTTCAAAAGATAACTCTAACACCCTTTTGCTGAGTC